ACGTAATCGTGGTGACGTCACTTCTCGTTAAACTTTAACAGGGGTCCAAGAATAACTTGACGTCTCGCCCATTCATTCGTGGCTTTTGCTTTTCGGAGCGGCAAATCTTCATGGCTCTAATAATTTAATATGATTAGGTATCTTTTCTCTATTATCAATGTAGTTTCTATTCTCGGATCATGGGTTGTAACGTTCTGTCCAACGTCCAAGTAACATTTAAACGTAAATCGGGACCTTCTACTTCCTAGTAGTGTACAATATTGTTTATTTTTAGACCTCCCTAAAAATACACATGTTTATTATCGTTTACATTCATTTATTCGAAGAAGAAAAATTGGAATATGTTTTGGAGTATGCCTATAGCTCCAGAAATGAATCACTCTATTGCATAAATATGATTGTAAAACGCACACTGGATCTCATTTGCATAATAGCATTGCAATAGTGTTTTCAAAGTGTCGTACATTGCACCATTGGCGATATTGTAGTGTACGATAGGTACTGTACTACACTTGTTCAGTAAGATAGTAAGTAGTTACAACATCGATACAATACAACACAATTATACTGTATATCGATGAGTGACATAGTACTGTATTGTTGTTATAGAGCAAACTACAGTATCAGTGTTTGTAGGTGACACAGTTACAGTAGCTGCTCACTGCTCAGCTTTGGTATTGATTCTGGACCTTTGACAACCTGCAGCTTCCCCCACTAGCTAGGGGGGGGGGGGGGTGAGGTCAGTGACCTGTTATCACTGCATACCTTACACATGTATACCATATCAATTGATTTAGCCTAAAGATTTTTACAAAAATCTTTAGTGATCGAACAATTCGTCTGAGTAAAATGTCACGTATCGATGATGCTGATTCAGTTATTTACTTTCTCCCCTTATACTTAGTATATGGAGAAAATATTGTTTCTGTCAAAATTTTCGAGCTTGAGTTTTGAGTGGATTGGGTCCCCCTGAACCCAAAAAGTTGTTTTCAAAGTAATGTCTGACTGTTATGTGTCTGTCTATGTGTGGATGTGTGGTACAGAGCTACAGACTACACTTGTGGTCCGATTTTGACAAAATGTGGTATGCAGGTACTATGGTATCTCCATGCAATTTTTCATTTTCTGGAAATTTTTATTTTTAGTGGTGATTTTCCTATAAAACCCATAAAATAACGTAAAAATACAATTTTTTCACAATAGGCCTGAACGATTTTGATAAAAATTTAATGTGTTGGTAGCTGTTTAAATTCTAAACAAAATGGATGAACTCATATTCAGTAAAAAATTACGGTTTAAAAGTTATTGTAACTTATATTATTTTCCCATAAAAACCAGTGAACAAACTAAAATATTGACTAAAAGGAACCGGTTCTGATTGAAATTGGTCTGTTATGGTCCTTATAATAAAAAAAAAAAAAAAAAAATAGTGCAACTCCCCCATTCCTCTAAAAATTACGGTTCAAAAGCTAATGAAACTTTTGTGATTTTACCAATTAAATATCATAGTTACTCTCATCGCTTACCCATGATAAGGTTGTCGGCAAGTTAATGAGAGAAAGTATGTGTTTGCTGATACCGTTTATTTCTAAAATGTACAATGGCATGAAGACAATATTATAAACTGGGAGATTAGAGGTTTAAGGCTTTTTTATTTTTCTTCTCTTTCTAAAAAATTAAATTAATTTTTGTCCGTCATTTTTGCACTACCAAACCCTCTATATGATTGCTGTGGAAAACTGTTCTAATCTATGACAGAGAAGGTTTATAATTTTGAGTAAATGTACTCTAGATCTAGATTGATATGTGTCTTTAACTACTAAAATTGTTAAAAAATTGTCATTTTAATTGTCAATTCTATCTGTTTCTTGTCTACCACAACTGAATGCAGAACTTCTTATCAAAAATGTATGAACTAGATCAAATGAACCCCTTTCTAGTAAGAAAGGGGTTTAAAGTGATTATTTATCCAACCTAACTTAACTACTATAGACTGATGTCTCATTGTGTTAATGTTCAGTTAAAAATTTATTCATTCAGCCCATTATTGTTATTTAGACTGTTTATAAAAATTAATACAATATGTTTAAATTAAAAAAAATATAAAAAAAACACACACAAAGCAAACAACAAAGCATAAATGAAAAAAAACAAACAACAGCATCTGAATGAAATGGGGGAGTTTAGAGTAGCTTATCTGACCCTTTTTAGTATTCTAAAAAAAATAATAAAAAAACAAATAAATAAAAAACTACATATGGACCTACAATACATAGAAATAAGACTCCCGACTTTTTCAAATTGGCCAAATCATCGCAAAATATTAAGTTAACTCAACCTCCAACAGTTGATATGGTAAACATTAAAATTCTAAAATAATCGAGCCATTTTAGTATTTTCTAAACATATCTTGCTATTTTATCTGTTTTGCCAATAAAATGAATACTAGGGAAGAAAAGTACATTTGAAACAACATTGAGCAGTTTTATACAAAGGCATCACCACTTGAATATTGTTAGCCTACCGACAACATTTTGTCAAAAAAATATATAGGCCTAACTCTTCCTAAATGCCAAACGTTTTTTAGCCTGGAAATTTTATTTTACAGCAAATAATGATTTTTGCCTTGTAGGACAAAGTTTATAACTTCAGATTTTTGCCCTAATTCTTTCTGACTCCTAACAGATAATATTACCTGTACTTGTGTTCATATCTTAACGTCTTACCAATTCCCATACCTTATTTGAAAACAGGATAAATTGTAAATTTTCTGTACAGATATTATTCTAAAATAATACTTAAATATTATTTTTGTTGTTTTATTTAATTTTCAACACAGCCACCAGCAGCCAGCTGGAGTGTGATGGTATATTGATCCCACTTTAACCCCCTCCCCCCTCTCCCACAACCCCTGCGACCTTTACCTCCCCTCTTGTTACCTTGCCTTAATTCACTAACCTTTATAATAAAGCCCCTGTCGCCTTTTTACTCTCAATGTTGTTACTGTGAATTAGTCAACTTAAAATTTGAGACAAAAATAATTTTTACGATGAATTTGAAGACTTATTTGTATTGATTAGCTGTATTGACATTGATTATACCGTACTTTTTTGACAAATATGGTAAAAAATTTTAACAGTTAATTTCAATCTAAAATTTTTAATTTGGGAGTAGTTACGGTTTCTCAAAAATATTGGAACAGTTCTGCTAAAAATTGGTATATTTGTAGGACTATATGTTGTGGCCCATAAATTATTGATTTTAGAAAATTTATTTTTTATTCATAATATGTCATAATTTAAAGTAATAACGTAAATTTTTAACTGATATATATTTTATACGTTTGTATCAACTGTAGGCCTATATCATTAAAAATGAGTATTTTGCAAAACATATTAATAAATTAGAATTTATTTAATGATCTCATATAGGTTGATACTTGTTCAATTATTTGTCCAACTAGAATCAGTGGATTGGTACTAGAAGCCAGAAAAAAATAAAAATATGTAAAAGAAAAATACTTCCACAGTAAAAGCCCCCAAAAAATAAATACAACCTCCCCCAAACTATCGCCAATTGATATGTTATAAAATTGACAGACGGATTCTAATTTCTTCGATAAAAATGTTAACACTTCATATCATGTGTTATAGATAGTGATTTAAGAATTAATTGGAGGAATATTACACCATTCAAACCAGAAAGGTTTATCAAACGTTAGGATTATTTTTATTGAGGTCAAAGACAAATCTTCAATCAAGAATCAAGAATTTCACTATGGATTCATTATTGATCAGTTTTGAATGGTATTCAAAAGTAATGTAAAAATTTGGATGCACAATTATTTTTTCATCCACTTTGGAATAGGAGAAAAATGAATTGGAATAATTGCACTCAAGCAAGTGTGACCAAAATTTGACACTATAAATTTCAATTTTTTAAGTTGCATTACAAAATTTAGATCATCAAAATGGCTGTGATATAGATGTGGCTTGGCTCAGTTTTTTTAGTTAAGTTAAATAATGTATTCAGACTTAGAATGGTAGCACGCACAAGAAATTTCAGAGTTAATTGAGCCTTTAAACGATCCTGTGATCCCAGTATCGCTACAAATAATGGTAGCAAAGCGTGGTTCCGATCCACAGACCTCTGGGTTATGGGCCCAGCTTCAATATGCTAGTTTGACTGATTTTATTAGTTGTAGAAGACTATCTTGCCAATAAAATATTTCACTTTTCCTGTCAGAATTGTTGTTAGGCGTTCCTATGATGTTATCCACCAATGCTATGCTCGCCTTCCCAATTATCATTCACAGGACATTCCAGATCACTGTAGGTCTATGTCTTAAATTTTATTTAACTTGTTTATTTGTGAAAAGAAACATACAGTCTACAGTAAAAATTTATCTGCAATCAATGTTTCTACATTATTCATTAGACCAGTTAACTTATGTTTATTTTGTATTGATTCATTATTCTCCGTGTATAAATGTTAGTTCTTTAAGTAACCATATTTTTTCTTTAGTCAGGCCATCAATAAATTATGTTGTTTTTAAGGCAAGTAGTATTTTTTGTAAATAGGAACTCAAAATGCTTTAAAGGGAAAGCAGTCCATACCTGTAAATGTTTGAGGATATCCCGGGGATCGAACATATCCCTCTAGCACCCACGTCAGATACACTAATTTAAGCGGCAAACCTCAAACTTTATTACGAGACCATAGAATTGACAAACTCTAGGATTAGTTCAACCATGTTAAGTGACACAACTGGCCTATTACAAAACTGACTAACCACCCTGGGCCTATCCCTGGAACTCACTAACTCAAGTCTGTGTATACCAGATGTATCCACACCCATGTTCAGTAAAAATATCAACGTTTGAATATTTAGAGTTCATTTGTGGACCACTCATTGAAACTCGTTACGGTTTTTGTATCCAATAGGGACCTTATCACAGCCTTAAAGATAATGATGTTTTAATGTGTTGATTTGGTTGCAGGGTGGCGGTGGCATCATGACGACAGACATATCCCTGGTCCGTACCTGGGACCCGACACTACAACAGGAGATTGTTGACGATTACGAGTACGATGGCGGAAACTCTTCCTCCAGACTGTTTGAGAGATCCAGAATTAAGGCTCTTGCAGGTACACAACTTTTATTTATTGTTAATTTGCAGGATTTGGTAAAGAGAGTTTCCTGATGAACATTTTTGATTAGTTAAGTTATAGGCCTACTTTAACCTGTTTGGACTTGCAGAAGTATAACCAAGATAGCAACAGTAGGGTGTGAAATAACCTCAAAAGAAACCATAAGGGGTCGGGTTAGGCCGGGATTTGTAAATACCTAGTAGTGCCTAAATTTGGGTATGGGAGTGTAGGTCCACAAGCAAAACCAGAAAAAGTCTCTTCAAAGTTTTGATATTACAGTAAGGAACTGGAATAAAACAAAATGATTGAATTTTCAATCAGTCAACTTCTGGCTCACGCTGTATGCAGTTGAGAAAGTGCTAATATGCAACCAAATTAAATTTTGTAGTGCGTGGCAATGCTTGATGTTTGACATAGATATACCTGGTTATTTGTTAGTTCAAATTAAATTTAAATTGCAATTAAAACTACTAAATAAAGTAAAATAGTCATATGACCTTAACACTTTGGGCTCAAAGGCATCAACTCGAACGCCTACATATCAGTCATCATGGCTAATATAACTCTTAACCCAACTTGTCAATATTTGACATGTGCTGCAATCTGGTTAAACTACTCTCCAATCTATGCTATGCTTGGTTTTTACATTTTCATGCAGTAGATGTCTATTTAATGATAGAGGTTCCATAGCAGTTTAAAAAATATCACTTTTCCTCTGACTGTCCCTGTGTCTTGAATATTATGTTCCATTGTGTTTGTGTGTGCGTTTGTTGTGTATTTTGTACTTATTCGTAACTGCATTGTCAGATAACCACAATATCCTGTGATAAAGGTTGATATATCAGCTGCTTACTCATTCCTGTTCCCAACAAAATATTTCTTGTTCCATACTGTTTGTGAGCGTACAATTTGTGTTTGAACGCATTACGCTATGGATTATGATCAAGCTGTCCTTCAACTCAAAGGTAACATTGTGGTTTACCAAACAATTGTTTGTTTGTAGCGTCAGTATACACTTTATTTTAGTCTGTTTGTGTAGTAGGCTACTTGTACTTGAATACCGCATCGGTGACCGACAAAGTTGGAATAGATTGCGTCACATATAAAACTATTTTTTAACATCAAACTTGGGGTTGCCAAAAAGTGGCGTGCCGTCCAGCTCACTTAGTGAATATAGAGGTCTGCCCACCAGATAGTCTCTTTGTGTATCTTTGAAGGCCCTAATGTCCATCCCCCGCACTTCAGCTGGGAGCGTGTTATAGAGGTTACTAGTGTAGTAAGGGTAGCCCCGTTGAGTCCAGGCAAGTCGACATCTAGGTTGGTCAAGGAGATTACCATGTCTTGTTCGGTACGAATGCTGGTCCTCACGTCGAGCAAGTTTTGCTAAATTTTCTTTTAAGTAGTACCATGCTATTTAATTTGTACTGGCTGTAGATGGCGAGAACCTTTAGGTCTTTAAAAATGGTACTACTTAAAGAAAATTCAGTAGAACTTGCTCGATGTGAGGACCAGCATTTGTACCGAACACGACATGGCCATATTAATTCCACTAAAATAATTTTAACCTTTACCTTACCAGGAATAGTTTTTATGTTTCACTTAGACATTTTATATAATTTTTAACGACAAGAAAATCTATTTTAAAGTACATTAGAACGTCTTACTTTCACCATGATTAGAACTCCTAATCTAGATTTTTAAGGGAAAAGTATTAAAAATAAGCCCTAACACGAATGAGTTTTAAACCAAATTAATTTTCAGAATAGTCTGTAATATAGAATGAAGAGTTTTAATGCCATTAGATGAGTTGAAAGTGGATGAATGAACCGGTTAGAGACAATATCTATTGCCCCAGTCTGGCCTAAATAGAACACCTGTGTTGATTACTGCTTGTTGAGACAGGTGTTTGTTGCTCTGTTTAATGTACAGAACATATTCTATCACATTATCAAATGTCCTAACCAAATGTACTACTGTCATTTAAATTATTTACTTTTGACAACTCATTCAGTCAGTCGTAGGTGGCTTTTCGCTGTACATGATGAGAAAAGAATTGCTGTTTTCTTTAAATGAGCATATTTGAAGTAACCAAGCGGTTTGTTAACTTTAAATACACTCAAATCGTCAACTTTTTGCTAAATATATTTACCTGGTATTTAGCTAGTACAAGAGTGCCTATGCCTATAGATTGTTCAAATATAGAAGACAGTCATGATGGGGTCTACTTGCAGCCAATGAATTGGCCGCAGGTACGCCCAGTTCTCAATTGACTTCGTTATTGAATAACCTCTAAGTCTTAGTAAAATTGGCAAATGTTTTGAATAAAAAAAGTAGTTTGAAATAACTACCTAGTGAATGTTATTGCTAGAAATACCCCTTGTATTTTCCTAAGTTTTTTGTGATGTAATATCAGACCACTTAAAATAGTTAAAGCCTAAATATAGTGACTCATCCAAACTAACGTTCCTATATCTAAAAAAGCTTCTGGTGGGATTTTTATCATTCTGGAACCATGTAGGTATGTCCTTCCGTTACACACGGAGTCTAGGAGTCACACAAAGAGGTGTATTGATGTACTCTAGGACAAGGTCGGCTATTATAGCCAGCTGTTGGGTGTGAAGAATTGTCCTAATTAACTCTCAAAGCACACCACTTTGTAGTAAATGTAAGGGATATTCAGAAATTAATTAATGTTTTATCTCGCTCACTACTTACATACTTTCTTGTACAGACGAGTTCGCCTTTTCAATGACCATCTAACCGTTACGGTGTCACTGTGCTGCCCGTTTTTACAATATCTAAGTTCAAAAATCGTGCTGCCACTTAAAATCCCGCCAGTTGAGAGATTCGTTCTGTAATACCATTTTTGTTACACATCTAAAACCTATCTAAATTTATCGTCAAGGGTTGAACCAAAAAAACGTAAAAAATTAAACTCTGGCCCCGACAATGGTGCTAGCTGAATTTGATGTTTAGGTTCAAAATTTTGTTGTAACATGACAATGCCTGATCTCAAATGTACTATAAGCAAATACAATCTTCAATAATTTAAATGGGGAATTTCCTCTCGACCGTCCTCCCTGCAGTCCATACGTGACTCCGAGTGACTTGGCTTGTTTCGTGCTGTTCTGATTACGCTTTTATGCTGATTAGCGCTTCTGTGATTACAACGAGGACCACCAATTACCTGTCACCTGGTGGCTGAGATCGCAGGCGGCAGAATTCTGGGACCTAAGAATTTCAAAGCTCGTCTACCAATTTCATAAATGCCCCTGATTGGTTTGTGGATATGAAGAAAAGTCATTTTTTAGTTGCTCTTTCTAATGTAAATATTTTATAACGTTTCTTGTACAAACTTTTTATTTCATTCTTAAACGACATAGACATAAATATTTGGTATTTACGTCCTGAAACCTTCCTTACTTCCTGAGCAACCCTCTTATTTTCTAATGAACATTTAAATCACTTTATGTCCGTTTGCCAGATTCCTATGACTCTGGATTCCACCCAAGTCAAGTACTCAAGTGATGGAATGTGTAGAGGTTGAGAGGTTATGGTTGATTGTCTAACAGCTGTAGAGTGTAGACTGTAGGTGTACAGGATGGGCTGTAATTGTCAATTGACTGTGTCCCCCCCTCTCAGAGCATTGCCCTGACATAGTTCACTCAAGTGATAAAAACTGTGACATGTCATCAGTCATATCTTGAGACATCTGTCACCCCCTCCCTTCTCCCATTATCTTATCCGCTAGATTGATAAGGAAAATTATGTCTCCGATCTGGTGGTTTGGTGGGTTTGAAGTTTGATTTATTTTCATCGAGTCAATCCAATGTTTTCTTACCTTTTTGACATTTCATGCCATGCTTTTCTTACAATGGAAGGCATGGAGGAGATTTCAAACTGTACATTTTGAGTATTTTGAGTAGCTACATTTTGAGTACATTTGAGTAGCTTGCATAACATTTCTTATACAACTTAAAATGTTATTAAATTGTATTCGTCAATCGTAGTAGTATAAAAGAGCCAATTCTTTTTAACCAAGCTGTATCCTTGATTTGTTCTTTAAAAAAGATTGTTACATCTTTGTTGGGGTGGACCTCTTTTTGGAAGGTGAAGACATAACTTTCAGCTGTATAAATTTATCTGGAATATACAGATTAATGAATTAGATTTTGCTTAAAAAAAGTCAGTAGTTTCCATCAGTTTTGACCAAATCAATTTACGAGTTAACTCTTACATTTACGAGTTCTCTGAATCTGAAATTATCCAAGTAAGTAGTTGGTTGGAACCTTAATCACAGTGTTGATAAGAAAAGACAGCTATCAGCAACCTTGAGTGTAATCTGTGAGTGTCTTGAACAATTTTACACATGAAGTTGCACAAACACATTTGCAGGTGTCAGTTTGCATGGTTGCGAAACACAATTCATATTCATATTGCACGTTACGTCATAGTGCATATCACCATCTTCTTAATGGCTTATTGTTGGGCCTCTGATGTCAAATAGTAAAGCTTTGAATTAAAAAGTGAAATACATTCTGTCTAATGAAATAATATAAACCAATAAATGTATTGTAATTTTTTTGAAACTTTTATTTAACAAATAGAACAGTAAATTATTCTGTTTGGTGTTATTCAACAAGCCACTAGCTAATTCAACCACAAAGTTCGAACTAGCAAGTATAATCAAACCTCGAAAACATAAAGGTTTGTGTTGGTTTCTGGCGGAAATAGCCACAGCTAACTGATTCCAGATATATCACGGTTTCAATTCAGGGTTTCCCTCATTTACATCCTAGAAGCTGATTATTAAACTAAAACCATTCAAGAACTTAACAGTCCTTAGAGCCTAGACGTTCTAAAACAATTAAATAACTACTAAGAAAATATCTAATCTCACAGTTTACTAGATATTGAAATTACAATCACTCTAGTGTTTGAAAAAAATATTTTGAGATGGTAAATAACTCTTCAGCGGCTGTTTGAAATCACTTTGGTGTTTGAACAAATATTTTCGGACGATAAATAACTCTTCAGCAGCAGCCTCCAAGGACTTAACATGATTTTAAAGTTTAATGTCAATCAAATTTTATTTTTGTTTTGACAAAAATATGATTTTACAAACCCCTTAGCTTTTAGTAGATATGATAATAGTACATGGTTTTGATTTTAAATGGTTTGACTAAGAATGGATTTATTTCCAGCACAAGACTCTAGAAACACAAACTACATTCTTTATGGTCCTGCTCTACTTTTACGGCACAACTTTTGATCGAGATTATTCAGAATATTTATATAAGTAGTAACAGAGGTGGCCCTACAGCCCTACATATAGGTAAACAAGGCAGTGCCTGGGGCCCACGCTTTTCGGGGGCCCCGCACAGCCGTATTTCAGGTATTAGAGAGGCCTGCTATTGAACTTCGCATCGGGCCCTGCAATCTCTAAGGCCACCACTGAGTAGTAACAAAGTATGTTTTGGGATTGATCATCGGATCAGAGTTTTGAAATAGGTTACTAACTGATCAGAGGACTGTAAACACTTATTGAGTTACTTAATAATACAGACATCAAAATTATTTTTGTACAATGTAGGAAAATGACTAAATTGTAATTACTACACGAGTTCCGCACAGTCGGACCCAGTTTGATTGATTCAATTACCACATCGGTAGTTTTGTTGGTCAGTTCATCCAACCATAGCCTGGCCTTGTCACAATGAGGCCAGCCGCAAGCTATCATGTAAATTATCATTGTTATTGACACATAACAAACTGTGGTCCGATAATCTACTGTCATGCAACGGAGATATTGTTTGACTTGAGATTACAGGTAAAATAATATATGTTCGATTAATTTTTTATTTTATATAATTTTTAATTTAATTTGATTTTATTAATAATTATCTGGCAAAAAATTTTCAAACCTGATTTAATTTATCAGCATTTTAATAGAGATTTTTGGTGCAGAAATAAAAACTGTATGAAATTTAGCGTGTTTTCTTTTTTACAGTGAATCCTCTAATTCTGGTTAAGTTCTGGTTTTGCCAAAATGTTTTAGTGTCTGGACATTTTGGGCCTTTTACACATTGCAGTTTTGTATTGGAACCTTTTCCTTCTATAGCTCGGCCGCTTAGAAAACGACCTGCGCGCTAATGCTAAACCAATGCTGGAGGAGGTCGTTTTCTAAGCGGCCGAACTATAGTTTCATCCATGCTATAAAAGCCCATTCAAAAGTGTTTTTTTTTTTCAAAACTGCTACAGTTGAGTTTTAATAATGAAACAATCTGCAAGTGATTTTAGTGTGACTTGCTGGAATTTGAGTTTCATGGAGTGTTTAATACGACTAAATCTCTTGGAATTAAAACTACATACATGTGCTTAGGTGTCACCATTGACTATTGGATCCTGAAGTATTGGATCCCATATGGACCAGCTGTTGCTAATGTTTTATTAAAAAAGAACGTAGTTGTGTAAGCCAGTCACAGAATGCACTAGTGTCTAAAATTCAATTTTATACCTTATTTTTTGTTGCTGACCAGGTTGATGGGTCATAACAGTTGTTATAACTCATCATAAGTAATTTTTTAAGTTTGAGTTTGTAAAAATGTTTGTGTATTTGACAGAATTTAGTCATTTAGATCAATGCAATCTGTAGATGGCTCACATCAACTACGACAATTGTGATAAAAAATCTGGCTACAAATTTAAGGTGTCACGCTGACTAGACACAGTGTTTTGTACAGTGTTTACTTTGATCAACTACTTGATGTTATAAAGATGAGCTCAGCTCAATTTCACAAAACAATTACCAATCAAAAACCTAATTTTGATTTCCTAAACATAAGTATAGACAAGTTAGTAGGGGTTTGGTTTTAGCCTTAACCCTTTAATTGTCTTCAGGGAGTGTCGGATAGCCAAAGATTGGAAAATTAAGGTTCAACTGTAGTTGCTTGTTCCCCCGGTTGCAGCATATGCCGAGTTCCGTTTTCAGGCTTTTTGTCATGTTACACTTGCAACTAATGCTATTGAAGGGTTTCTATTAAAAAAGTGAGGGTTATGATGGGCAATATATCAGCTGTTTTAAGGGATCAACCTGGTACCTGTTTAAACAAAGATCACTCACAGTGGCAGGTTAAGAAAGCTAACTAGCCAAGAGCGATAATTCAAGATTGTTTTTGTTTCAGATGAGCGTGAGAGTGTACAGAAGAAGACGTTCCAGAAATGGGTAAACTCCCACCTGGTGAGGGTCAATAGCCGCATCGGTGACCTGTACGTGGACCTGCGTGATGGCAAGATGCTGCTCAAACTGCTGGAGGTGCTGTCCGGCGAGCTATTGGTCAGTACAGCAAACTCATCAAGTGTGATTATAAATAGGAGGGCTAGACAGTAGATAACTTTTTGGAATTAAGAATAAATAAACTGTTACCTTATTACTCTACGCATCTCACAGTTCGCAGAATTTTCAATTAACGCAGACATTTTAAACTGTCACAGTAACTCAACATAATACAGCACCAATCTCTCAATAGCACGACTAGATGCCAACTGAGCAGTGTAACACCCTAACACCAAGATGACCGTACTGTGCTAGCCCCACCCCATGCACACAAAGACGATAACGTAAACTACTTTCTGGATATGTAGAATAATATTTTCTTTATATAATCGACATTAAGAATCGACAATTATTTCACAATTTTGTAGATTTCTTCTTTGTTGGACACGTCAGGCTGGACCTTTGTCCAAACTGAAAAAGTCAGAACCATAAGAAATTATAGCAAAATAAATTTAAATGTTATGAAACCACAGGTTATTTGTGTAAAATTATTTGAGCATTCGGCTGTACTAAACAATTAACTAATGCAGTGATGACATCCATGCAGGTCAGGTCAAACTGTATTTGTTTATTTATGTGGCTATAGACAAATTGCAGCTTTTCTGTGTGATTTCTTCAGTCAAACGCAGGTGGCTGTCCCAATGAGCTTTATGATGCCCAAATCAAACAGATCCAAACAAGAACTTTACAGTGTTTCATGTAAAATTCACTTTAAAAACCCTTTTCCCTGATTAATATATATAACTGAGTGACAATCTCTACTTTTATGTTAGAGGTTCTTGTTAAGGTTCGGTTGTTTATTAGTTAGCTGACCCATGTCAGTGATTGTACGGGTTGTAAAATAACTTCAATGTTCAGTGGCAATCAGACAGTACTATCTGATTTAAGGTAAATAATAGACAATTGTAAAGGACCAATGTTGTGTTTTCTAGCCCCGTCCTACCAAAGGCAAGATGCGTATCCATTGTTTGGAGAACGTAGACAAAGCCCTACAGTTCCTGAGGGAACAACGGGTCCACCTGGAGAACATGGGATCTCATGACATTGTGGACGGCAACCCTCGCCTCAGTCTGGGACTCATCTGGACTATCATCCTGCGCTTCCAGGTAAATGTGGGGTCTAGAAGTTAGTTGATACCTCGACAATGGTAATTCAAACAAACCATCTTCCGAGATTTCTTTAAGATTTATTGAATAAAATGTATTTTTTTCTTATTTCTGAGACACTTAACTTTTATTATTGTAACTCTACTTTTATGTATTCCAACTGAACTCGAGCTTTCTGTACAATATGATTATCTATTAACGTATCCTTTGTCTCACTGCCATTTTATAGTAGTACCTACCCATTAAATTTTCTGTTAAAAGTAAAATGAACATATTAAATACCACACACTCATGTAAAGTTTTTGAGTAAGTGACGATTGACATTATTGGATATATTAATTTATACATATGTGCAAAGATATATTTATCTTCTTCTACAAATTGAGTTTGACATACTAACTGTCATGCAGATCCAAGACATTACGATAGAAGAGACAGACAACCAAGAGACCAAGTCTGCGAAGGACGCTTTGCTGCTGTGGTGTCAGATGAAGACGGCCGGCTACCACAATGTGAACGTGCGCAACTTCACCACCTCCTGGCGTGACGGGCTGGCGTTCAACGCAATCATACACAAGCACCGACCGGACCTTATACAGTTTGAGAAGCTCAGCAAGAGCAACGCTATGTACAACCTGAACAACGCCTTTAATGTGGCCGAGGACAAGCTGGGACTTACCAAACTGTTGGACGCAGAAGGTGGGCGTGTAGATTATAGAAATATGGGAAGGTTAGACACACTGGCATTTGGTGTTTGATTTGTACCAAAAAAAATCTTTTGATTGCATAACTGTATTGAGAACATGTACAATTAAACTATAAACTTTTTAACTCAAAAGTTTGAACTAAGCATGTACCGTAAATATAAATTTCACGAAGAAAGGATGCCTAGCATAGTTGTTCATTTTTTAGTTGTACGATAATGTGTTTTCAAAGAGGAAAACTAGTAGAAGTACTGATAAACATTGGAAATTTTTTGTTTTAATTTTTTGTTATACCGCAGCAAAAAAAGCCGTTTTAATGCATGCGTTGCGGGTCTAAAGTAAGCTTTTTACTCTCTAGGGAGTAAAAATCAGCTGTTGTAATCAGTTGGAAATTTAGATTGTGGCAATCGTATTGATAAAAATTATTTATCGATTGATTTATTAGGTAAGGTTTTAGCCTATTGTTGTCGATTGCTTGTCATTTCGATGGTATAATAACACAATCGTAATATAATAGACAAAATAATTGAATCACTTACCAAACAGCTGCTTATTTGCATTAGCAGAATTGAAAACAAGCTGAAAGTCGTTTTGAGTGGTTATCTTTTCATAAAAATTATTTTGTTTTCTAGCTTTGTTTTGGTTAATTAATGATGCAAAATGACAAAAAATATAGTTCACCACACGGGCAAAAAGTGGCTTTTTAACCTTCGCTAATTTTCCGACCTCGGCTTAGCCTCGATCGTAAAACTTGAACTCAAGTCAAAAAGAGTCTGTCCCTAGTGATGAAACATACTATTCTTGTTCTGCAATAAATTATTTTGTCTTAAAAAAACATTGCCATAGTCGAGAGTGTGCAGGGAGAAAAGATGGGTCTAGTATTTTTTCAAACAATAATTGGTCTAATTCTTTAGCCTTGAAATCGTTGACAATCTAACTAATCTAACCTCATTGTGTGAATTAATTAATTATGCAAAACTAAATTAACATTCATAGACAATTCTCAAACATTTTCTTTGTATTTGAAAAAATTGTATATTTAAAATGTAACAAAATGTCTACTGTATATTTGTTGTTTTACGATTCAACAAGGTGTTTTGTGATGTTACAGATGTGTTTGTGGAACAACCAGACGAGAAGTCCATCATCACATACGTGGTCACATACTACCACTACTTCAGCAAGATGAAACAGGAGACTGTCCAGGGCAAGAGGATAGGAAAGGTGAGGAGTTTGGGACCGATTCATCTTGGATTTAATTATAAAACTTGCTTACCAAAAATGCAAGCAAACGTATTTTATTTTGTACTCCATTTTCAATTAAAACAACGTTGCTTGGAAAGAACTTCCGAAGAAAATACTAGGTGTGTTGAAAAAAGGAGTTTGAAGTCGGCTGACAACCTACTGATTGACAATTGATTGATCCAATTTATTGAAGTAAAATTGCTAAGGCATGTTTAAAACTCAATCTCTTGGTTAGTTTTCTGAGTTCTGACCTATGTGATTGGCAGGTGGTAGGCATCGCTATGGACAACGACCGCATGATCCAGGAGTACGAGGGTCTGACCAGCGACCTGCTGAAGTGGATAGAGTCGACCATCGTCAGTCTGGGCGACCGACAGTTCGCTAACTCTCTCACTGGAGTGCAAGGTCAACTCGCCCAGTTCAACAACTACCGCACTGTCGAGAAACCTCCCAAGTATGTACTGTCAACTGTATGTTTGATGAGTATTTATATTTGTGGTCATTAAATGTTTGGGAGTTTCCAAGAGTGTCAAATCAGAACGTTTATTAAAATTAAAAAAAAATTAAATTGAAGACAGAAAGTTTTTTTTTTTATTTGATTTGATTTAAAAAGGTGTCTTGTTACAAGAATTTATACATAAATGTAACAATGTATTCAGGTTTAGGAGGAAAATAAAAGGTATTGTAATCTTGTGATGTGTCGAACCTGAATTTCAAATATAATAAATTTCAATTATATCAATTAGAAATTTAACTTCCTTAGGCTAGATTCCTGAATTGAATGTAGAATCTAGTACCCATTTAGTTATGTTGGACTTTTGAGCCCGCTTCGATAATCTGTTTTATCATCCCAAGTCAGTAACGCAATAAATTCTGAATAGGTTTGTTCAAATTTTATTTCTATATTATTTAGAGAGTAATAGTAAGTTAGGAATCTCCTCAGAATAGGATCCCATGCCATTGCCGTGACTGGGGATGGTTCAGAGTATTACCCCTTTTGGATTAATTTTAAGCTATTGTTCTATCGTTGCTAATGCCTTTTGACAAATTCTATCTGCTTTTTTACAGATTTTTATATGGTGATAAATATTTTAACAGTAAATAAATTTGTATTACTTGGATTTTCCTTGATAAACTGATAACTTACCAGGTTAAATTTCAGGCAGGAAGGCTAGCTCTTTTAACACTTTGTATTAAATTACAACTCCTTTACTCTGCTTTTCGTAAACATATTTTTACAATGAAATACAACCTAACATACTGTCTGATGTTTCAGATTTATAGAGAAAGGTAATCTGGAAGTATTACTTTTTACTCTGCAGTCTAAGATGCGAGCCAACAACCAAAAGCCGTACACTCCTCGTGAGGGCAAGATGATTTCTGACATCAACAAGGTAATACGATCATTTAGGTTTACTTTAAAATTTTGAGCTTAGGGTGAAATATCTATTTGGTTTCCAGTATGAATTCTTTTTCATTCAAGATACCCAGCTATCCCAACAGTCTCAATGCTGGCTCAAACTTTTAAATCATACTTTATTTTGCTTTTTAAAAAGAAAAATGTTGAAATGAAGGAAGAAGTGGCATCTTTAACAGCTGTTGTTTGTCTGTAGGCATGGGAACGCCTGGAGAAGTCAGAGCACGAGAGAGAGTTGGCTTTGAGAGAGGAGTTGATCAGACAAGAGAAGTTGGAGCAGCTTGCAGCTCGGTTCAACCGCAAAGCCAGCATGAGGGAGACTTGGCTCAGCGAGAACCAGCGTCTCGTGTCACAGGTAAGTTTTGAGGTTAAAAGAGGTAGGCCTATGTTTGTTTATGAAATATCTGAAATGATAAAAAAAGACGAAGTATGTGGTCTGAATCAGGTTTGGTTTTTTTAGAGGTTTGAGGGAATGTTTAATAAGTTCCCCTTAAATGTGTTAAATACTATTTCTGTGAATACATTATTGAATTTAAGGAATAATTAGAGTTTGGATCGTGTACGTAAGAAAGAGTCCAGGGGCTAAAACGTACACCAAAAAGATCATACACAACACTGATGTCCTATTCTCGTCAACCTACTCCTGAAGAAGTTCTAGGGTGAAATATCAGCGTTATCTTTTAAGCCTCCTATTATTTCGGCGTTTCTATTAGCCCTTGGACTCTAATGTTCTCCTAGGTAAACTATCATTTTTTAAATAATCCTAGCTAGTCAATATGCTTTCCTTTAAATAACAATTTATGAATACGTTCTGTATTTTATATACCTAAACGGAACATTCTTTCTGAAAGGTTTTCATAACTCTTGATCAAAATATAATGACATCGTGTTGCAGGACAACTTTGGGTTTGACCTGGCAGCTGTTGAGGCTGCGGCCAAGAAGCACGAGGCTATTGAGACAGACATCCTGGCGTACGAGGAGAGAGTTCAGGCCGTGGTGACGGTCAGTCAGGAGCTGGAGGCGGAGAACTACCACGACATTGACCGCATCAATGCCAGGTCAGTGCATTAGAAATACAGTTCAACTGCCTTGATCTATGTTTACTAGCCTGTGGTACGTGTACCACTAGTGGTGTGTACAGGCGTTCAAACAGTGTAAACATATTTTATCCATGATTACCACCTTGTGGTTAAAAGTGGTGCACAAAATATTTTTGCATTTGAAGTGATGTGTCAACAGAAAAGGTTGGAAAGCTTTGGTCTAGATTACTTGGATTGGTCAAGTCCAGAATAATGGCGAGGGGTTGCACAACAAAAGACCTATTTTATTTTTACCGTTTCGTAACACCTAAATCAGAAAAATCAAAATGTAACACAAAGAAAATAGTTTGATGCTTAATAGCTGTTTTGAGTGCTCCAGCCCACCAAGTCCCTGGTTAACAAGTCTGCTGTAATATTTTGCAGGAAGGACAATGTGCTGAGACTGTGGCATTACCTGTTGGAGTTGCTGAGAGCTCGTAGGATGAGGCTGGAGTTGTCTCTACAACTGCAGCAGAACTTCCAGGAGATGTTGTACATCCTCGACTCCATGGAGGAGCTCAAGATGAGGCTGCTCTCTGACGACTATGGTAATATAACCGATAGAACGGAACCCTAATTATCTGCACCCCATCCGGATGGTGAAAAATCCCAATAATTGGATGCAATAGCAAAAACTCCTCTACAAAATTTTGGATTTTGTGTGATTGTACTTTGGTTGTTAATAACTGTAGTTTGATACTAAGAAATCTTGTAAAAAAAAAATAATATGTACATTATCCAAACATTTATCCCTCCTCTTTAAAGCTTCCTTAAAAATTAGTAAATTTAAATAGTAGATGTCAAGTGCGTAGTGTGTTTTTAGACTAATAGTAATACAGTGTGACTGTTTTAATTCAATTTTAATTGTTTTAATAAACCAAAATTTTTTTACTATCGACCATGAACTAAGGTACTTTTTTATACATTCAATTTTTGTATCTAGATCTACCATTTTGGTAATCCTTAATATCAGGGACAATGCCGACAACCACGGAATATTTTCTCACACCTTCACAGTTCACTATTTTTCCACACTTTTGTCTCCCCTCTATCACAATCAAGTCAATTATCCTTAGTAATTTCTGTTTCATTCTTTTCACACCTTTATAATTCAGAAAATGTTCTGTACCCTCAATCATTAATGTTTGGTTAATCTTTTGTCATACATATGAATTCCTAGTTTGTGATCTAATTTTTCAAGTTTCCGTATGTTGTACAGGCAAGCACCTGATGGGAGTGCAAGATCTGCTACAGAAACACTCTCTTGTGGAAGCTGACATCAATGTGCTGGGAGAGAGAGTGAAGGCTGTAGTACAACAGAGCCAGAAGTTCTTGGACCAGGAGACCAATGAAGGATTCCGTCCCTGCGACCCAGCCATCATCATAGAGCGGGTGCAGCAACTAGAGGTGCGTATAGTTTATGATTGTAAAATGTACTTGGTAAAGTTAATACAATTTAAAAACTCTTCACAAGTCTGGAGTTTCTTTTTTTGAGGATTCAGTGACAACCAAGTCAGCAGGTGATTACGCAGAGTCTAATGTTTGTTGTTGTGCAGGACGCATACGCAGAGCTAGTGAAGCTGGCTGTGGAGCGCAGGGCTCGGCTGGAGGAGAGCCGCAAACTGTGGCAGTTCTACTGGGACATGGCTGACGAGGAGAACTGGATCAAGGAGAAGGAGCAGATTGTCTCCACGACGGAGATCGGACATGATCTGACCACCATCAACCTGCTGCTGTCCAAACACAAGGTACTATCCTTTCTAATGGCAACGAGGTTCTAACTGTCCATGGAAAATGTTTTAAGATATTTCATTGTTATAACACAGTAATACGCGAGAGAAGGAGCGGTACAGCAAGAGTCAAATTTAGTAGTAATCAAGTTAAGCTTTTGATTTGTAAAGCACTTGGCTTTTGAATATTTAAATCTGGAGTTCCGCTAATCCAAATTGAGTTCTCAGATACCATGACAATACCTTGATCGTCTTCTGCGATCTTGGAAATAACTGTATTTATCTACCACGTTCGTGGCAAAATCCTTCGCCCACAATCATGTATTTTACATTCGGAAGACCTTCAAAGTGAACCAATGCATCACTGTAGGCGCTTGGTCCCTTGGCCATTATTTTTTAACACGTTCGCTACTGAGCGTCGCATATATGCGACGCCGCGGTCATTGCCACAGACCGAGGTATACATTTGAATTTTACACATAGACCGTCTGTCACTTGGATAACAGTACACACAGACCACGGGCGAAAACCTGTAAAACAGTGATCATTTACATTGTAATACGCTACAATCGTGTTTGTAAATAAATTATTCTTGTTTTTTTGTATTTTTTATAACCTTTAGTAATGTCGCATATTTGCGACGCCCGGTCTACAGCGAAGACAATAGTGAAAATTATCATAGTTTTCTTGAAATAGACTAAACGACGCATATATGCGACAGTTCATTTTTTGTGTTTTAAGGTGAAAGTAAGTAAAAAAATAAACAGATTATTCAAGAACAGTTTATAACTGAACAAATATAAAAGCTACATAGGATAATGCAGCATACATACTGCATACATACATACAGTGATGCAGAAAAGTAAAGACCAGTTTTCCAACTATTATATGACGTCACCAATCATCATATCCACAGACCAAGCGACGCAGTTGTGCGTCAGACATCTCTGTAGACCACTGCAGGGAATTCAGTGCCTTCAAATAGACCACTACAAAGATATAAGCATTTTAATAACATTAGAACCCCGACGCAAATATGCGTCGGCAGTCTGTTAGCGAATTTCCCTATAGGGAAGTAGCTATTACCGTAGGTGGCACGGTAAGACCTAGACCCGGGACCGATTTACTTTTTCATTTTGATGTCCCCAGAGGCCGAAAACACTATTCGTTCAAATTTTTATATATATATATATATATAGACTTTTATATATATATATACGTCCGTGAACGCGATAACTTGAGTAATTTTTGTCCGATTTTGATGAAATTTGGTTTAAAGGTGTAAAGCGGGATAAACTTGAATGAGTTCGCGAACCAGCACGATCGGACCAGGAGAACGGGGCAATACGGGGGGTTTTATGGGGTAAAAATTGGTTTTTCTCACTTTTGACCCTCAAAACACAAAATTTCCCAATTTCTCTTTAGACCTTTTTAAAGAGCTTAAAAAAACAAATAATTTAGTATATAAAAGTATTTTTGTTCGATTATTAGTAATGGAGAACATTAAAAAAATTGTAAATTTAAAATTCCCATGTTATTCTTATGGAGAATATTGTCAAATGTTGTAGTTTGCTTGTTTATGAATATATTTTGATCAAACTTGGCAAATTTATTTATTTTGTACTAAGCTATCAATATTTTACTCAAAAACACACTTTATTAGTTTCCTTGTAGCAGCAAACCTAGGTACTCGCTAAACCAGGTACATCCTACACTCATCTCCATTCATACTTGGCTTAAAATACCTACATTGTATGGTCGCCATTTCATAAGAAAGTATTAAAGTATTAAAGTATTAACCTAATGTTATTGAAATATATTTAACTGAAAATCAATTCAGACAAATGGAAATTCGCTTAGTCGGCAGGTTTGCTGCAGCGGGGGTATTTTAATGTGACTAGCCGTCGCATATATGCGACGGCAGTCTATGGATGGAAACCGGCCGTCGCATATGTGCGTCGCTGGTCCATTTGAATAGAAAATTTCGTACTATTGCAGTAGCGAACGTGTTAATTTCCTGGTTTCATACACAATTAACATACAATTTCCAGTTTTCTCTTTTTTCCTGTCAGCTGGAACCGTAATACAGAGCACCTCCATTATAAACCTACCTTGGTTTTTATTTTTAATTTAAATATAGTGACATTTTTGCAATAAAAGGTGGTTCTGATTAGCGGGGTTTAGACCAGCAGGAGTGTGGTGTAATTCTTTTGTCATTTTTGTTTGTGCTATCAACTGCTTACTGGTGAGTGGTGTTGCAGGCGCTGGAGAACGAGATCGGCAGCCACGAGCCACAGCTGATGAGTGTGGTGGCTGTGGGAGATCAGCTGGTACAGCAAGGGCACTTTGGTGCTGAGAGAATACAGGAGCGTCTGCAGGACACTCTGGGCAACTGGAACCACCTGCTGGACCTGGCAGCACTGCGGCGCAAACGTCTGGAGGAGGCCGTTGACTTCCATCAGGTACGGGATGTGTCCATTGTGAATATTGATTTTTAATTGAGGTGTTTGGTAAAGACCGCTTCAGGCCAGGTTTTAGAGGATTTTATAATGGACGAGAGCCCGCCCCGTGGTCGACCAAAAGTATGTATTGTGCAAACTTCTCTATTTTCACCCCAACCTGTAAATAAAACATGTGATTGGATCTTCTTCTATTTGTTTTGATTTTCTGTTTATATTTTGTTGTTATTTTGTCAGCAGCATGGCAATCTTAAGACCCATGTAAATTTTTTAAAATTTCAAATTTATATTTTGTGCTTATTTTTGAGCCTATTTTAATTTATAAAGGGATTCTGCACATCTACAGGAAAATATCTTTCAATTGGTACCAACCACGCGTAATTCGGTCCAGTAGTATGGTCAGGCTAGTTGTCATAAGTTTTGCAAATTTTTTTTTTGTATATAAGATAGGTTTAGCAGGCTTACCTTACTGACAAAAATAGTTGAAAATGCACAAATAAACACATAAAACACCTTTTGGATACTAGCTCATTCTTCTGTAAGTGGAGTCTTTGTTTTCGGGTCTACTACAGAAGGAGAAGCTAGTAGCTCCAAACATTCTGTGTTTTTCTGTGCACTTTCATCTATTTTGAAGTAAGGTAAGCCTGCTAAAACTATCCCTTACAAGATCTTGATTATTAATTGACTTAATCTAAAGAAAAGGTAATAAAAATCAAAATAAATAATAAAGATAGTGATTTATTTTGCATTAGGACAAACTAAATATATGTTTTGACTCTACGAACTTAATTTGTTTTTTGTGTGGCTTTCATGTCGTCTTTTTACCCAGTAATGATTTATCAATCCTCGGATAACACTCCATTGTTCCAGTTAATTTGATTGCTTTAGAGTTACTTTGGTCAATCCTTATGAATTAAAAATCGTGCACTTATATTTTTTTATAATTTTTTTATTACCTCACTCTGTTTCACAGAACATTTGGGAACCCTTTTCCGTGGATGATGAAGATGGTTTGAAAACTTTTATAAACAAGTTCCCCCTGTACAGAGCAAAGGTTGCAATATGTTTATATATTAATATTTTAAATTGGCATCTGTAAATGTTGTATAGTGAAAAATTGATGTATAGTTGAGAATAGAATACAAAACAAAGTATTGTGTAGAAATATTTTAAGTCTCTTTTGTAACTAATTTGACAGTTATAAATTAAGTAGTGTTGTAATGTAAATCATTATTTATTTAAATTGTGGTTTTGGGGTATAGTCAGTTGGTTTTAACTGTTTTAAGTCAAAGGTCTTATGAAACATCATTCCACATACACAACATTAGTTTTGGAACATTTTAAAATGTAATAATCATCTTGTAAAATGTAATCAAAGTGGCAGTACTGCCAAAAACATATCTCATGTAGTTTGAATTATATTTTCCACATTAGTAAATTTTGCTACAAATAGTTGTAAAGAAGAGAAAGAACACTACACCCTCCTGTATTGCGGGTGTTGCAGAGACTTCCAGAAGGCATTTTTCAACTGTGTACATTTCAAAACTCTGTTTATCCGTTATGACCCTAGTCCCATCTATATTGGATTGACAATTCAACTGTAGGCTATAAATTCACTGAAATTAACTAATGAACTTCTGGAAAAAAAATGTTGATTCAAAAAATGAAATTGCAATACTTGGCTTATCCAGGTATGCTTATCCGCTATTGTTGTGTCTTGGTAGTTTAAATGCATTCTATGTACAAATTTTCCTCTGGCCGCAGGAATTAAATTTTTTAATCAGAATTAGTGTGTTACCCTCCAAAATTAGAAGTAACAAAAATAAAGCAATATAGATTAAAAAATGATGTATTAAGTCTAAAAGAAAAGAAAATCTGCAGTCTCATAATTTATTTTATGACAGTCTCATGATTTCTGATACTCTGTAATACATTTCCTGTATTTTAAAACCGACCACAAACAAGTCTTATTGAAAAATCCTTCATACAAAGATCACAGGTTTTTATTCACCGTCACTGGTACATATCCTGATAGTTTTATTGTGTGTTGTGTTGCAGTTCTTCGCAGATGCTGATGACGTAGACATCTGGATGCTAGACACACTGAGACTAGTATCCTCGGAGGACGTGGGCCGTGACGAGGCCAATGTACAGTCGCTGCTGAAGAAACACAAGGACGCCACCGAGGAGCTCAAGAACTACGCTTCCACCATCGAGGCTCTGCACACTCAGGTATTCTTGCGCTATTGATGCCTTTGGCATTTTTTCCGATCCATATTTTTTAAGGAATGGTCCAAACCTTGGTATTATTTGCTAACACTTTTGTTCAAGGAAAAGGAAAAGGTTGTAGAGAGGTACAGAGATCTTACCTTCGAAAATCGTTGTGTGCTCTTTAGCAGTCTCAGCATGTTCCTGAGCATCATTCATGGTCGTAACAAAATCGTTATCATCTTAAATGGCCATAGCTTAATTAATTGTCTGGGTAGCCTAGTGGTTATAGTGCCTGCATTCAAATCTGAAGGTCGCTTGTACGATTCCAAGCGAGATCGTGTCCAGACCCAGATGCCATTTGTCATTTGGTTATGAATTAATGATGCTATCTAACAAAAAGGTCGACGTTAGTTAGTAACAAAACTAGGGTTTGGACCGTTCCCTTTCAAAACGTAAAAAATGCCACTCACTGGAGTAAAAAAAAAATAAAATAGTGAAGTCTTGATAATCGTCTGCAGTTATTACAAAATTAAGAACATCTCCCTCGTTTACAGCAAAATCAAAAACATCCAAATACACGGCAAAATCGTTAACATCAATTAATTGTAAGTGTGGTGCAGTTGTCAATTCTTGACTGCACATCTTGGCTTTTTGTGATTGTAATAATTTAAAAATTATTTTCAGCCCAAACCGACCTCTCAGACTAACTTTTGATCCAACCCGTAAATATCGGAGACCTGCAAATCCCTTAGTATAAATATGTTGTGGTCCACAGGCTGGGCAGCTGGGAGAGCAGGATCGTACTTCACCCGAGGTGGTGGAGAGGCTCAACTCCATAGACAACAGATACCAGGAGCTGATGGAGTTGGCCAAACTAAGGAAACAGCGACTGTTGGACGCCCTGTCACTGTACAAGCTGTTCAGTGAGGCGGACGGCGTGGAGCAGTGGATCGGAGAGAAGGTAGGCTGAGCAAGTCCCATACCTTGGCAAATTATGCTAGATCGACATTAAGAATTACAAATTACATTTTATTTGCTTAGTTTACCTGATGTCTGCCAATTTTTTAATTACTAATTAATTTCATTTTGGAACCTTTTTGCGACCTGTATGAAATCCTACGGTAACTTCTATGTAAATGTGTGATAGACATATTTAAAAGATCATCAACAAAATTTTAAATGGTGACTAAAATATTATTTGTTTGACAGTAGTAATCAAGAAACAAGAAACCCACATCAACAACAGTTTGTACAGTTTTAGCGAATAAGCTATTACCATAGGTCTCCTGGTACGACCTAGACCCAGAACCGATTTTCTTTTTTGTTTTGAGGTCCCTGGAGGCTAAAAACACCCTCCGTTCAAATTCAAGAGGGCATTAAAAAATGGCATACCGGTATTTGCTTGGTCATTTAACAAGGAGAATTAATTATGCATTGAGATAGACTTTTTTCTGCGACAATCTTGGCTATTATTGAGCTTGTCGTGGTTTGCAGGATCGTATGCTGCAGACTATGGTCCCAGCTAAGGACATTGAGGACGTTGAGATCATGAAACATCGTTACGACGGCTTTGACAAGGAGATGAACGCAAACGCATCTCGTGTCGCTGTCGTCAATCAGCTGGCTCGTCAGCTGTTGCATGTTGAGCATCCCAACTGTGAACAGATCGTGGCTCGTCAGAATCAGGTGAGGGAGTGGGAAGATTTTAGCAATTACCTTACAGTTTTATCGCTAAGCTTTTTGTTGTCAATTACTCATTCAACCTTATGATGCAACACAATATGTCAAACGGTTTTACTGGATGTGTTAATTTAATCTTGTTTTTAAGTCAATATGTTTACATAGCTAACAAAATAAAAACACTTAAAAGAACATTACATTATAAAAACCATTTTACACAAAGTTTACAGACAAAGCCTATTCTCCTATTTATCTGATAGCATAAGTTCAGGTAGATTTTGACTGAACCAGAAGCTGGGAATTAAACAAAATACAAATTTACCAACAAATATTAGCAAAGAAATTACGTGGAATTTTTATATTTGTACTTATTAAACGATGAATTGTTTCTAAGAAATAAAATAAAATTTGGAGTGAAGAACAAAAATTGAATACTACAAGAAAAAAATATGTAATTTATTTGTATGCTTAGAACTGTTAAATTAATTGGAAGAATACGTTGGTGTGAAATACACAGCTTGAAAACCTAGTGATGTATAGCAATTAAATGATGTTATGAGTCCATAGTCATAATTGGTGAGTAATTTACAGTGAATACTAATAACTTTACCAGTCAAAGCCACCACACTTCCTTGAGTCATTTAATTCAAATGCTGGTTTTGGTTGGAATCTCAGATTATTGACTACGATTTGACATTTCAGCTGAACCACGGCTGGGCCGAGCTGAGAGAGAAGGCTGAAGGCAAGAGAGAGGAGCTCAACTCTGCCCATGGAGTACAGAGCTTCCACATCGAGTGTAGAGAGACAATCAGCTGGATTGAGGACAAGAAACGCATCCTTCAGTCCACCGACAGTCTGGAGATGGACCTCACTGGAATCATGACATTGCAGGTGGGATAAGTGTTTCTACCACTTTGAAATTAATTACTTCTAACTTTTTAATCTCTCCAATGTTTGTTGATATTGTTTTCACTTGAAATGTATAACTTTACGTCTTTCCCAACTAAACTTTTGATGTTAGGTATGTATTTTGTTTGAGTTTTTATCTCACTTTAGAATCAAATTTCAAAAGAAGTTGACACTAGAAACTTAGAATTACCTTGTTGTCTCACACAATATAATCTCTAAAGAAGTTTTACACCGAGAAAAATTGTAATGCTATGTTGTGTAATTTCTTACTGTCTGTCTATACTCTCCCATACTTCTTTGGTGAGCTATCTGAACTATATTTGTTTCTGTAAAAATACCCTATTAGCCACATGCCTTTACTTTAAAATAATAATAAAAAAAAACAGTGCAAGTTTAACAGACATTTTAGAATAGAAGAGTTATTACACTCTTTTTGTAACTAGACTTTTCTTCATGGTGATTTCAGCTGGTAACATTGGAGATTATTTCAATTTTCAACTTTAACTATAAAATTTCTTCAATCTACTAATTTTTTTACTATTACTTTGCTTTTGAATGTGTTAAAACTTCATCCTTCTGCCAGCTTTACCCCCGCCATGATCTTTTTAAATAATCTTTAAAGAAGTAGCCTACTACACTTTGACATAATATGAGTGATGTGTGGCCTTTAAGTGTGCTCATAGACTCAAACTCTATCCCTAGATGAAAAGACCTTTTTCAAAATCTAAATTACAGAGTGAACATTAAGTATTCAACATTTATCTAACATTGTGTTGTGCCATACAGAGGCGACTGTCGGGTATGGAGAGGGACCTGGCTGCTATACAGGCCAAGCTGGACTCTCTAGAGGCCGAGGCTGACGCTATAGAGGCCGAACACCCTGAGGAGGCCGCTGTCATCAGGGAACGCATCACACAGATCACCCAGATATGGGAGCAGCTCACCCAGATGGTCAGTTTACAATATATTACGTTTTTTGTTGTTTAATTTTTTACAATGTACAACACAATATTACAGTAAACACCCAAGAAACAATAACCACCTTAGGTTAGAACTAGAACCCATGTCAATGGATTTATTACACTTTCTAAAGTTCTAAAGTATCAATTAGGCGGTTTTCTTGGTCTCTTGATGTAACTTTGGTCACTTCTTAATTTTGTTAACTTCATCCTTCAGCCAGTATTGCCCCCACAACAATCCTTCAGTTTTTTCAAACAAGCGTTTCCTCTCCCCCTGGTACACCCATAGTAGCAGGTTCATCCCTACTCTGTCTTGCCATCAAGGTGAGAGCAGTTACTACTTTTAATTTTGAAAACTTTCTCCCAAATGTGCAATCCCCTCTTCAATGTACCCCAACTATTTAATTTTGAAGGAGTCTTCTTTTTGAACACTTAAGTGGTTATATATCAGCTTGGAGAGCAAGCTGGCCTATTGGTTAGAGAGTGAAACTTCGGTCCTTGAGGTCCCAGGTTCAAATCCCGCCAAATCACCAATGAATTTTATCTAAGTGATGATGCCGCAACTTCTAGGTCTAGCCAAAATAATGTGAAAAACAATCCTTGGCTCGTACCTAGCATCCTAGGACAAAATATATGTCAGCTTCAAGCCATTGTAATTTGTTATACAATAACAAAATAATTTTAATTTTTAACACAAGGATTGTTTCCATAAAACCGTTTTAACATTTTCACACAAGATTTGTTTTTGCAGCTCAAAGAACGAGACTCTAAGCTGGAAGAGGCAGGAGACCTGCATCGTTTCTTGCGTGACCTGGATCACTTCCAGGCGTGGTTGACCAAGACACAGAAGGAGGTGGCGTCCGAGGACATCCCCGGCAGTCTGGCCGACGCTGAGCGACTGCTCAACCAACACCAGGCGATACGTGAGGAGATTGACAACTACACTGGCGACTACACCAAGATGATGGACTACGGAGAGACTGTCACTGCGGTGAGTTGTTTTACCAATATTTGTTGGTGAATCTAAATCAATGTTATTAAGATATTTGGGGAAATTTGATAGGTGATGGGTATTAAAAGGCACCATAGTTTACAAACTGTTGTATTTTCAGTTTGGGTTGATTAGAAAGTTGGTTTATACGACAGAAATCTGCAGTTGACATCAGCTTGTGTAAAATATAAAGTTATTCTAATGTAAATTACTGATTTATATTAAATACGGTAAATTTTAACTAAACTTCGATCATATCTCAGTTATATCTGATTACATTTTTGGCCTTTATGTACCCCTGTGTTCTATGTGGTTAGAACAATAAACCCCTCACTGGAGTTGGCTAGCAAAATGATACGGTGTTCGAGTCCTACCGGAAAACTTATTAAGTGTTGACAAGATTTTTACAAGGTCCTTATTTGTAGAACATAGGAACGAGAACTTCATATTGTAAGCTATAGCAACTTTTATTTCAATTAATTATGTTTTATAAATTATCCCAGTAACAAAATAGTAGGGAAAATAATTTTAGAAAGTAGCGCACTCTGTTAGTTTCTCAATTATGTTCTTTTGCAATAAATGATTAGCTGCTGCTGATTCATAAATGTCCACTTCTGTTTCCTAAAGCCAACAATCAAAACCAGAAGAAACTTTAATCGGGTATAATGAATCAGTTGTATGTTGATAACTGATTGATTCATCAGTGTTAGTTTCCTTGTAGCAGCACAGAGTGTTACATAGTGTTTGTGTGTCCAGGAGCCCAGCACACAGCAAGACCCGCAATACATGTTCCTGAGGGAGAGACTGAAGGCGCTGAGAGACGGATGGCAGGAGCTGCATCAGATGTGGGAGAACAGACAACAGTTGTTGTCGCAGTCCCTCAACCTGCAGATGTTTAACAGGGACGCCAGACAAGTGGAGGTGCTGCTGTCCCAACAGGAACATGTGCTCAGCAAGGACGACACTGTCGTAAGTAGTGTAGTTTAGAAGATTGGAAGAGACTCGGAAATTAAATCTTCAATTTGTCATAGTTATACCCCACATCATGAAGATCATCAATGTTGATACTCGCAAAAAAACATTTAACATTTAAATGCAAAGCAAAATAATTTACAATAACTGAACTGAATGAAGAACGGACCAAAATCAGCAAGGGTTTGAATCCAAACTGCAATGCATTTTTGTTTAAGGCATTGAACGTAATAGAATCTAAATCAGCAGTTTCAAGTCCTAAAAATGTGTTGCAGTTACTTTTTTATGCAGTTAACATTTTTTCAGTTCCAATTTCATTTTTACAAGAGAATACAAAACACTTTTGATGGAAGGGGTCTAGCCCCTCAAATTTTAGATAAATGTCTTACTTATCTTAGTTCCTTTAATCTTACTCAGTCATTTTGGAATTTTTTAAATTTATTTAAATTTTTCAACCACACTTTTTTCCTTTTATTACAAATTCAGTTCTTTTCTCCGACAATTATAAGACTGATACCTCTTTTAATTTAACCAGTAATACATCCTCTATGGCTGATGACTTCATGAGCCATTTCCTTGATAAAATATTTCATGACTTAGCAGTGCCATTTGTATCTTAAAACATATTTATCTTTTTTTTATCACTTATACTTTTCTGTATTGGCATAATCCAAATTTTCTTCTATATTATTTTACACTGAAAACTTTCTTTAAAATTATAATGACATAGATATTTTAGTTTCACACTTATTTCTTTGGGCATAGCTGTGTTCACATTTCCTATTTTCAAATATATTTTTGTTTGACAATTCGTATAACCTAACCTTTTTGTTTATTCTTCACAACTTCTTAACAAGATATTTACAATAATTGTATTGACAAAAGAAGCCTCAATTTTGTTGGAGTATTCAGTACAACCCAGTTAAAATCCCAACTAAAAGTTATCATTTTAATTTGTATTGAATTATTTTCAATTCTTTTGTAGATGAACCTGGAGCAAGCCGAGAACCTCATAAAACGACACGAGGCTTTCCTCACAACGATGGAAGCCAACGACGACAAAATCAACTCTGTTGTGCAGTTCGCCGGCCGCCTCTGCGACGAAGGCCACTTTGCTGGTTGGTCTTTAACTTTTTAAAAGCTTTTTATTAAAAAAAAATCACATAGGGCCTACTTGTTGATATAGCAACTAGTACTAGCAATCAACTAGCTGCTGGGACTAGCAACTAGTGCTGTCAATCAGCAGTGAACCCATGAATGCAGGGGTGGAAACAGTTTGTTCCAAAACGTTCATTAAGTAAAATGGCTACTTATTAAATATTTTGAAGTAATTCCAGGACCCTAAAAGTATTAGTTGTTCATTGTATTTTAATGTTTAAACCACTTAATAATTTTAATGTCAGGTTATATCCTTTCCTAAAAGCGCTTCTATTCTGCCTTGATGTTTGCCAACTCCAATTAGTTTATTATTGTGTGTAGTCCGCATAGTTATAACTGAATACATGATTTACACTACCGTAGGCAGTAATGTAAATATGTCCTGGAATTTCAATTTAAAAGCTGTTAGAAATAAATTGACATACAGAGTTAATCAGCCCTTTTTCCACCTACTTAGCAAATTCAATCTTTATTTTTTAGTTGTGATAAAACTGAACACTTATCAATTTTGTCTTCTGAAAAACGCTGATTAAGATTAGCAGAACAAGATCTAAAACTGTTTATTGTGTAGCGGACAAAGTGAGCAAGAAGGCGGAGAACATAGCGGACAGACGCAACGCCAACCGAGAACGAGCTTTGCAGCAGATGGAGAAGCTCAAGGACCAACTGCAACTACATCAGTTCCTTCAGGTACTGCAGCAACTTTAAGAAAAACCTTAAGATATTAATCCTACAGGTATTATGCAAAATTATAGTGGTGGGAAAAGTAGTTAGCTTTGTTGGGGGTGCAAAGAAGAGAACAATGCTCCGCAAGGAGGGCGCCAATATCTCTCGGGCCTATTGTGTGTCACATGCAAACAGCGGACATGGTTAGTGGTGTACATAACCAAGCATACTCTTTCAAAATGAAAATGATTGCCAGTCTTCTTTAATCTTACAATGCCCTTTAAGATTACTGATTAGTCTCAGTGTAGAAATACATGAAAAAGGTGATCTGGTAGAGTAAGAGAATTAAAAAAACCAGATAAATGCATTTCTGTTGCACCAAGACGCAAACCATTGATATTGCTGCCAAGGTTCTGTAGACATTTTTAATTTTGCTATAAAAACTTATGTATTTTATACTATAAAGAAACTAACTTTTACAACCTAATTGAGATATTATAAGGCAGGAGTAAAGATTCTTTACAAATAGCATTTAACAATTTGAATCTCAATTGAATCAATTGTTTTCTGTATAATGAATGAACTGGATGTAACATGATGATGATGGTCTGTGTTTGTGTCACAGGATTGCGAGGAGCTGGGTGAGTGGGTGCAGGAGAAGAAGTTCATCGCTCAAGATGAGACGTACAGAAGTGCCAAGACTGTACACAGCAAGTGGACCAGACACCAGGCGTTTGAGGCGGAGATTGCTTCCAACAAGGACCGCCTCAAGAGAGTACAACAGGTAATGAATCGGTCAAGTGGTTCGGTTGTATGACAAGATTTCACTCACACAACATCGGTTACTTTCCATGTTTGATGGTGTATGTACGTGGCTGTTGACTAAGCTTCTTCATCTTCTATCCCTCTACAATTTCTCTTAGTCCCCTTTAAACCCTCTTTACCTCTTCTGTCTTCCCTCTTCTAGCTCTTCCTCTGTGTTAACCTCCCTCAATCACCAACTTCTCTCTTCTATAAATCTATACAAATGCCACATTTTTCTTTAAATATTTTTGAAAAATTTAGTCTTGCATATTAATTTTGATCAAGGGGATGTTAGATTATCTTAGTCAAATAAAGCTTTTATATTGACTTTATCCGTACTAAAATATGTCCTTGAACTATTCTTCTAATATTTTACTGTTATTACTTCAACTTTGGGCTTTGTCCCTGTAGCATCTGACGTTGCAGCGTGTTTGTTGATTATTTGAACTTGACACATATCATACTAATTAATCAATCGATCAACCATTCCTTCAATTCTTGTTAGAACACAATCCAGTTGAGTAGAGTGTTGTAATGCCTATCATCACCTTGTTTGGCCATAAGAAGTTACAAATTTCCATAATGTGAAATTTGAGATTGGACATATATTCTGACTATGTTTTGATTGTTTGTGAAGGCTGGCGAAGAGCTGATGAAGGAGAAGCCGGAGCTGGCTGAGGTCATTGCTCCTAAGATTTCTGACCTTCAACATCAGTTTGCCGACCTTGAAACCACCACCAAGGACAAGGGAGAGCGATTGTTTGATGCCAACAGGTAAACATCCAAACTTGAGAACAATTGAGGAATATTTATAAACGGTGACCAAGAATAACATTTGGTTGAACAGCTCCAGACCAATGGGTTGTGGTTTGTGTGTGGCAAGGTATAAAGCAGCGAAAGTGTGATTCATACATAGATGGACACTTTTGTAATAGTGTTTTGAGGTAATTTTGAATACAATATTATTTTTTTTAATAAGTAGGTAGTAGCAATTGTCTTTTTAAAACCTTTTGGTCAAATTGGACTCTAAAGACGTTAGAAAAGAGATATAGTAGCTCAACAATCTTCTCGGAACCATATGGATATGAGATTTTGATTTGACAAGCCACAAAGCTATACCTCTCATTCTGACCAATGTGTTTTCCTTTAGTCCAAACCCAATATATGAAACAACCGTAACTATACAAATTCTCATTCACAAACATTCAAGTTTGTTTTAAACACAACTCTTCCTCATCTAACCCCACTTCTCCCTGCCTACAGAGAAGTCCTGGTCCACCAGACCTGCGATGACATCGACTCTTGGATGAACGACCTCGAGAAACAGATCGAGAGCGAAGACACTGGCAATGACTTGGCCTCTGTTAATATTCTCATGCAGAAACAACAGGTAACTTTGTTCAAATATGTCTTATGTAGAAGAGGTGAACTCATGTTGTAACATAAATTAAAACAATCAGTGTAATTTTAACAATTGGTAAGTTTTTATAATTCCCAATTCTAAGGATAAAGAAAATGTATGTTGTTAGTAGAAACATTTACATTTGCAGGATTGTCGTCTTGTTATTGTATGGTTTAGTGATCTGGGTCTGTAAATACAGTACAATGTTGTTAGCAAGTGTCCTATATAGCTGGTATTCAATTAATTTACTCTTAAAGCCAATAGTGGCATTTCCATAAGGTGATTGATTGTCATCTTCCTTAAACTTCAATATGTACAAGCAAATTGAGGCACTCTCCTATTGACAAAATGATTTTTTTTATCATTTTACCTTCATGAGACTTTTCCTATATAAATGTAGACTGTTTTCATCGCATTTGTGTCGCAAACCCTACAAGCTAGAAAATCCTTCAAACCGATGAACCGATGTGTTGCAGATGATTGAGACGCAGATGGCAGTGAAGGCCAAGCAGGTGACAGAGCTGGAGACCCAGGCTGCCTTCCTGGAGAAGACTGTACCAGACAAGATAGATGAGATCAAGGCCAAGAAGTCCAAGGTGGAGGAGAGATTCCAGCAACTCAAGGCACCGCTGCTGGAGAGGCAGAGGGCTCTGGAGAAGAAGAAGGAAGCGTTCCAGGTAATCCATCCAATCCTTTTATGAGTAGTGTTGTTTGAAAATAACTCATACAATTCCTCTATGAGTAGCGTTGTTGACCACAGAGCTATGAATCATTAGATAGGGGTTGCAGCTGAATAAAATCCTTAGTAAAAATCCTTAGTTTGGTAATAACTAACTGATATCTGTATCTAAGTTTATGTGTAAGGATCCTGATTCATAGTTTGATGGATGAAACAAAACTAACTCAGCTGTCCTTATTCAAATGGCTCTTAAGGCGTCTCCAGTCTCCACTAAAGTTGTTAGTGACAGCTCATCTTGGTCACTAACGTAGCTACCTCCTCAAAGTGTGTCACTGATTTAACAAATTAATAAAATTCTTTTTTTTTGTTTTAAAACTATCGTGCAAGTAGGCCTATTGTAATGAGTTTTGTTGCTCAGTTCCGTCGAGATGTGGAGGACGAGAAGTTGTGGATCGTGGAGAAGATGCCACTGGCAACGTCGCAAGAGTACGGCAACAGTCTGTTCAACGTACACACTCTCAAGAAGAAGAACCAGGTTTGTGATAGACACAGTGCTACTGCTTTTCAGGAGACATTATTAAAACACAAATAACCATGTCAAGAGTCTACACACTATGGAGTTAATCTCACAGTTCATTGGCGTAAAGTGTGACCATATGTTCAATATATTGTCATCTTTTCAACAAAAAGAAAACTGTTTTTTATCTAAATAGACCTAAAATTGCCTGTGACTGTGGGAGAAAACAGTGATTACAAATATTTGTAGTAGTTTTTGTCCTCACAACTTTATTACTACCACGTCATTATTTTTGTTTATTTAACTCTACAGTAGTTGACTAGCCAATGGTTAATATCGAGACAATCATTGAGAGATTGTTGACTCAATGTGATGTATGTGTTGTCTAGTCACTTGCCACGGAGATTGACAACCACGAGCCTCGCATACAACATGTGTGTCATAACGGCCAGAAGCTGATAGAGGAAGGCCATGAGGACGCTGGACAGTTCAAGGACCTCATAGACGACCTGACAGACAAGTGGAGGCAACTCAAGGACGCTGTTGACCACCGCCGTAACCAGCTGTTGCAGAGCGAGAAGGCTCAGCAGGTAAACTGCCTTGTGTGTCTCATAAGGGTCAAATCAAATTAAATCAAAATAATTTATTCCACAAAAACATTAATACATAAAATACAATATTTAAAAAAAACATATTTATAAATAATAGGGGTCTGCGGTACAGAAAATTTAAATAATGGTGTAAATACCTTCATTTATGTGATCATTATGTTGCTAAACTGCAACCGGTTTCGACTCACAAAGGAGTCATCGTCGGGCCAGTACAGATGTCTTCTTGCTTCATTCGAAGGTCGTCAATTCATAATAAATAAATACATTTAATACGCACACGTACACAAACATAGAAACGAACATTTAGGGTTAAAAATGAAGGATAACACTACAACGGTAACGGGACACGTTCAATAAATTAATTATTCAATAAAAATTACAATGATTTTCTGTTTCATTTCCAATGGTTCATTCTACGTCTTAACATTAAAAATTTTGCTATGCACAGGGTATTCTCAGCACTATGAGAATTTTTCCCTAAAAGATAACACATTGTCAAATTTTAGTATTTTACTTTAAGTACAGTAGGCTCTTTTGCTCAAATTTTTGGTGACAGTAATTGAGAAATTTACAGTGGTTATTACACCTTGGTTGATCATTTATCAGGCATTTGTCATATGACACTATTGTATTTCTTAAAGAAATCTCAATAAAGAAAATTGACTAATTGATTGATTGAATAACCTGAATGTTTGTTGCAGTACTTGTTTGACGCTAGCGAGGCAGAGAGTTGGATGAGCGAACAAGAGTTGTACATGATGGTGGAGGATCGAGGCAAGGACGAGATCTCCGCACAGAACATGATGAAGAAACACAAGAGTCAGGAAGTGGCTGTGGAGGATTACTCCGAGACAATCAGACAACTGGGCGAGACAGCGAGACAACTCACCAGTGAACACCACCCTCAGAGGTTAGAAAACATCGGGTCGCTATCATTGACCTTCTGGTAGGGTCATGTTGGGGGATGTGTCGGGTTTAAATCAATGAAAACACAACTTAGGAATAAATCTGTAAAGGTACAAAACTGACGAAATTTGGTACAGTATGTTGGTACTTATCCTTGGTATCTCCAGACTTTTTTTTTGAAATTTTTAATTTGTTATTTTCTCGCAAAAACAATTAGAACTACGCGGAAATAATATTTTCACAAAACGACCTTTTTTCCCTAAACAAATGTGTTTTTTGTGATTACCAATAAAATGTAGTTACTTCCACCGCTTACCCATTATAAGGTTTTTTGACAATCTAATGGAAAAAGTACGTGTCAGTTTGCTAAAACCATTTGTTCCTATAGTCTTAAGCAAGAATATTTTCCTTGTCAGAATGTCAGCCAACACTTGCCGTTTGTTACAGTGAGCTGATCGCAGTCAAGCAGGCGCAGGTAGACAAGCTGTACGCAGGACTCAAGGACCTGGCTGGTGAGAGGAGAGCCAAGCTGGATGAAGCTCTGCAGCTGTTCATGTTGAACAGGGAGGTAGACGATCTGGAACAGTGGATCGCAGAGAGAGAGTTGGTGGCTGGCTCTCACGAGCTGGGACAGGACTACGACCATGTTACGGTAAGTGGACTCAAACTGTTCTGTTATGCATTGCTTAATAGTCCCAGTTCCTCAGTTAGAGGTTTTACTGAATTGTATATTATACCGCCGTCTTGACCTTGAGCGAAAGTTCTGGTTACTACAGTTTAGGCTGGTTAACAAACATACTTAAAGCTCATTGTATTGGAACTTTACTGGGGCTAAATGTGATTTTGTGTTTGAAATCTAGGTTTTTGGCATAAATGCAAAAAAAGATGTTTTTAATACATGCATAGCGGGTCTAAAGTAGGTAACTCTGTTGATTATCCAAATGTATGCGAAATATGTAGACTATCGATTGTTTTAATCAGTTGTAGCTTATTGTTGCATTCTTATCAATATTTCGACGTATCGATAGTCTAAATTATATTGTACATTAACACAATCGTAATGGACAAAATTATTGAATCACTTACTAAACAGCCGCTAGCAAAATTGTAAACAAAATGGCTCGTTTTGAGAGTTATCTATACATGAAAAGTATTCTTGTTTTCTGACTTAGATCACTTAAATAATGGTGCAATACAACAAAAAATATAGTTGATTACACGGGCCCAATGTCTCTTTCCTACCCTCGCTTATTTTGAAACGAGCTCAGGTCAAAAAGAGTCACTTTACGCCCTAGTGATGACATATGCTAATTTTGTACTTTGTTGAATTTAAATCTGTTGTGATCCACAAAAATATTTATTTATTTTTTAAATATGCTAATATACATTTTTCCTACTAATCTTACTTTGAAAACACTGACAAACGTGATAATTTACATAGTGGTTAAAATGTCAACTTGAAAGAGATCTGATGATTATCATTTTGTGCAGTTGCTGTGGGAGAGGTTCAACCAGTTTGCGCAAGACACTGACGTTACGGGCACTGAGCGTGTGGCGGCCGTCAACAACATTGCAGACTCGCTGATAGCAGCCGGCCACAGCGACTCTGCCACCATCGCTGAGTGGAAGGACGGACTCAACGAGGCATGGCAGGATCTGCTGGAGCTCATAGAGACAAGGAAACAGGTGAGGCCTCTCAGAGTCGCGTTGTTGGGCAAATGATATGAATTAGATGTTAGTGTTCTAATATCCTATTTGTCAAGTACGGTGGAATTTCGCAAATCCAAACTTAATGGCATTAGATCCTGTTTGCATAATTGTTTTGATTGTTTTGACCAAATGAAACAAAAGGAAAAGTTTGTTACCAATCTACGGCTTTGCTCATCATGTTGTTTCTCTAAAACCTTACCTTGATGATTAAATTGACTTAACAGTTGAGATGTTGTTCAATTTTAAACTGAAGAAACAAACCTTAACTAAAATGTACCGAACACCTTTGATAAAACATAAAGACCTTTTTCTTAACTCCCTTTGAATCAAGTTTTGTAGAATTTCACGTGTTTCTTCCATTCTGCCACAAACTTTTTTTACCAATTCAATTATAATTTCATTGATCAACCAACTGTATAATTGCAACATTGTTAACAACTGTGTTGTTTCTAGATGTTGGTCGCCTCTAGAGAGCTGCACAAGTTCTTCCATGACTGCAAGGACGTTCTCGGCCGCATCTCGGAGAAGCAGCACGCCATGTCTGACGAGTTGGGACGTGACGCAGGCAGTGTGTCTCAGCTGCAGAGGAAACACCAGACCTTCCTACAGGACCTTCAGACTCTTCACTCACAGGTATGAAGAAATTCTAACACAACAGTCTCCAACCATTGAAGCAGGGTAATACTAAAATTCTGTCGTCAACCAAAGTATTTTATCTAGAAGCGGTTGCACCTGAAAAAACAAGAGTTGGTAGTCGCAGCATAAATTTAAAAAATTAAACAATATACCTAATTACTGCACTCCTCTTAATTAAGGTTTCACAAAATCTCCGCAGCCAGAGAAGCGTAACATTTTTCTGATTTTTTCAATAGAAAATGCTTAAACTGTTATTTATTTAAAACACTCGTCAAATTGTAAATATATGAGGGTTGCATGTAAATTAACTACTCCATCAAGCTCACGTCACAGTCAAGTAAACAGTTAAAATCTAAGTCCAAGGTTGTTCTACATCATCTACTACTATTATTCCTAAGCAAATAGTATTGTAATAGGATTTGAAAACTTCTAACAGAAAATTGGCGCTCACGACTACGAATTACGTTCTGGGATTCGGTTTCTCTTGGAAAGGGGTCAATCCCTGTTAAATTCTTCAAAAGTTTTGTCTGACCAGCTGTTTCCTTGCAACAGGTCCAACAAATCTCCGACGAGTCTGCCAAGCTGCAGGCGTCGTACGCCGGAGACAAGGCCAAGGAGATCACCAATCGTGAGGCGGAGGTGCGCGGCGCATGGGCAACTCTGCAACAGCTGTGCGACGCTCGACGCCAGAAACTGGCCGACACCGGTGACCTGTTCAAGTTCTTCAACATGGTGCGAACACTGATGTTGTGGATGGACGATGTCGTCAGACAGATGAACACCTCCGAAAAACCAAGGTGAGTTGCCGATAAACCAACGATACAGTTGCTTTGTCTATTTTGTCACTGTTCTAAATCGAATGCTACTGATAATATTAACATGTATCCTAATCTCTTGCAGAGAAAAAACTATAATTGATGAGGTTGGTTGACTGTACTGGCTATGGTATTTGGCATTGCAGCTGGGATAAATTTCACCTAGGTTTTCCATGTGTGAAAGAATGGTAAAAAACTATCAAAAACATTTTAGTTGTGACGACTACTGAGTGTGATGACTACTTAAGGGGCAACTTTATAATGGAAATGATCTGTGGCTAGTGAGAAAAGTTGCCAAGCTGATTCACACTAATTTGGACAGTACTACTGTTCACACCAAAAGCAAAAAGTTAAACTTAATTTTTAAACTTAACCCTTAGGAGACCACATTCTGATTTTTCAGAATTTGTTATTTTTTTTTTATAAAAAGACGAACGTCCGATACATTGGCAGTTTAAACAAAAGATTGTAAAAAAAAATCTAAAAACTGCATGCAAGAAATGTGAAAGAGGGCTGCTATTCAAAAGTTATAGAATTTTTTATAACATTGCAGAAACTGTTAGAAGTACCCCGGTCCTAAGCAGCGTGTCATATACTATTGGGTTGATCTCCAAAGGGTTAAAGCTTTTAATTGACGAAAAAATGTTGACGATCTTTGGTTTTAGTTCAACATTCAGTTAACAAATTTGATCCTTTTCACATGAATTTAATTTTGAAAAAGGAGAAATTTTTGGTCACTGGTCAATTGTTTAGCAAAAAAGTAATTAAACACTTAATATTGTTTAGGGATGTGAGTGGTGTTGAACTGCTCATGAACAACCACCAGAGCCTGAAGGCAGAGATTGACACAAGAGAAGACAACTTCACAGCTTGTATCTCACTAGGCAAGGAACTGTTGTCTAGGAACCACTACGCCTCCACCGAGGTAAGCATGGTGAAAACAAGTCTAGAAGGTCATCAAACAATAAACCACAGAAAAATTTGTTGTTAGAAGTACCCCAATGACATGCATGTAGCATTAAGTTTAGATTTGATGTTCTAAAACGGTTTGACTTATTTTGTAGTTCAACCATTCACTTTCAATGCCAATATTGGTTAATGCCAATAAATTACAATTACCTTCCTGTCTAAGAACTTAATTGACTAAAAAAATATACTAAACTGAGAATATTTACTGTCATAATCCGAATATAATCAGTTATGTTTACGGTAGATCAAAATAAATTATTATATTGGTGAATATTCTTTTTAAAGGCAACCAAGGTGCATTTTTTGTTTAGTAGGTGTTAGTAATTTACTTTCACTCAAGTCAACATTTTTTAGTATTTAAAATACTTTGAATATGAATGGAAGATACAAAAAAGTCTCGGTAACCCATGTTCATCAAGGAATATGAAATACTACTTAAATACTGAATACTATACTACTGAGTACTTAAATACTACTGAAATACCTACTTAGGATGGATTGTGATTAATTGACCGTCACTCATGCTCAACAACAAATTGCCAAAATATAAAAATAAAACCCTTTTGTTATTTTTTAGATTAAAGAAAAACTGTTGGGTCTGACGAACCAGAGGAATTCCCTGTTGCATCGCTGGGAAGAGAGATGGGAAAACCTCCAACTCAGTGAGTTTATAAGTTTTGTTTACTTCCATCCTGTATTTTGATTTTGTTTAGACAATCAATCAATTTAACTTATGTGGAGAGTACAAAACCAAAAATATCCTCGGTTTTGTGGTAATTTAAACTGGAGTTGATAAATCAATCTTCGGTTTCATAATTTATAAACCTACGCTTTGGTAGTGTGAAATTGGTTTCCAGCCGCACAAAATACACCGAATAAGTCTTAATGCCTAAAATCTATCTAGTTTACTTCTTTACCTATAGTTTACCCCTCAGTAAAATAAAAATACCCTTTTTTCTAGCAATGAATAGTTAAACTGTAGTTATTAAGATTGGAAATACTGATGATAAGAGAAAGAAGAACATGTTTCGAAAGCGAACTCACTGGCCAGGTTACAAATACTAGCCCTGAAAATGAGCGAGGGAGGTAACGCTGGAAATACAGAAGAGACGATCACTTAGTCCTGTCATCTTATCACACACTACACTGACTGTGTACTTAGTCTTAGTCATGTATGTGTGGCTGTGTGTGTGGGGGGTTATTCTGATCCTGCCATGACACAAAGATATTTGAAAACTTTTGAATGCTAGGATATGTTTTTAGTTGTTAAGTAATACAATTTCAACCAAATTTACCCTATGTTTGTTATAGTCCTGGAAGTCTACCAGTTCGCCAGAGACGCGGCCGTCGCAGAAGGCTGGCTGATCGCACAAGAACCCTACCTGCTCAGTCAAGAGCTGGGCGTAAGTACCATCCTTTGCAACTATGAAATTAAATCATTTAAACAAATATTTATATTTATAATTGTTTGTTATTTTTACTGAAAAACATTAGTAATAAAATAAATTAGTTGGTAAAATATGAGCTGTTTTTGAATTTTCAATTTAATTGTTTAAATTTCATATCATCAACGATTAGATGTTGACAATTTCAACTTTTCCAGATGACAATCGACGAAGTGGAGAACTTGATAAAGAAACACGAAGCGTTTGAAAAATCGGCAGCCGCTCAGGAGGAACGCTTCATGGCTCTTGAGAGGCTAACTACCGTAAGTGTCGGCTCTTTAATTTGTTTAAACAAACAAGATGAAAGTGGTTAGTTTGGTTCTTCATGCCACAAACAGTTCAATTGCTATCCTTAAGTTGGAAGTGAGATATGATTTATTTAATGATTATTTAAATATGATTTAAAGTTTTCTAACATCAATTCAACAGATTATGACATTTTTTCCACAATGCAATATCAGTTAAATAGTTTTTATTTTTTTAACTTTACAACTTTGGTTGTTTATGTAGGAAAAAATATTATGAACCCTCATCAATATAACATTTATTCATGAGATTTAAATGTTATTTACTTGGGATTCGTAAACTGTCAAAATAGCATTTTAGACTAATTTAAAAGAGTTGAAATTGGTTGTTAGATTTCAGACAAATGTTATTTATTGGTGATGATGATTCTTCAGCTCATCATGTTATATTATTTTTAATTAATCTTCCATCAATCATCCATCAGTTGATAAATTTTGAACTCATTTCCTTCCAAAAATGTTTGTGGCACAGTTTAGTTTCTATCCAAGTTTCAAACTGATTTTTCACTAATGTTGTATTTTGTGTCGACAGTTTGAACTGAAGGAACTCAAGAGGAGACAAGAAGAAGAAGAAAGGAAGAGACAGGAAGAGTTGGCCGCCAAAACTCCTCCCCCTACGTCACCACAAGACCAGTCCTCAGACAGGTATAACGTTCTTGTTACTTTTATTAATTTCCTTCACGCAGTATTACTTGTTATTCACCATGTATTTTTAAACACTAAATCACAAAACAAAACAAAACAAAAACACAATAGCTTATTCCCTATATGGTAAATTCGGTAAAATCATCCAGTTTAGCCAAGAAATACATTACAAAAAATTAAATGAAACTGCAAATCAATTTGTAACAGTATTTTTACCCTAGTATATAAACTGTAAATAAAATCTTAATTCAAACAACGTTTTTTACGAATACCAAGTAACCATGTCAATTTTTTTTACAATAAGACCTAAGGTAGGTCTTATTTTTAATTTTTGTATCAAAATTAGTAGTAATAATAGTGTTGTATTGAGCAAATGATTTATTTGTATCCATTAGTACACTTAAACAAATTTATTTGAATCTTACATAAATTAATAGCTTGTTAAAATGTAAATATCTTTTGTATGGTTATATGAAAAATTTACTCCATTTAATACTACTTAAGATCTTTTGATGAACATTCTTAATTAATTATTGACTTTTCCTTTTCAGACCGGACGGTGAAGGAGTGGAGTCAGAGGCACAACAAAATGGAGAAAAAGAGGCGGAAAGTCGGAAAGGTGAGTTACACCGGTGTACAGAACTTGATAACTTTTTTCTTGTATATCTGTCCCTAAGAGTGGTACACATGTTGAACTTTATGGGAGAAAAACTAATAGGTCTAACTAAATTAGTCAAGAATGAACTAAAACTTGAAATTAGCTTTAACAAGCTTTTTAAGGTATTATATATTTGTATGGTTTTTATTATTCGTTAAACATTTAGATTATTACTTTTTTTCCTACACTTTTGTTTCAGTAAGAAAAAAAAAACTTAATATACAAGTAAAGCTTTGGTAGGTTGGTAGCTATATTGGAGCCATATCAGTTATGTACGTTCTCATTCCAGCACTGGCATTTACTTATATCAGTACTGTTCGTTCTTAATGATTAGTTCATTACCCCTGCTTGTGATTGATAAGATAAATCTTCCCAAACTGATAAGTGTTATGAAAATCTTCTGTGACCAAGATAGTTTAAACAATAACTGCCAATCTACTGGTGGACAAAGAAAAATTTTTTGATTAAAAAACCTGAAACATTTTAAGCATTTAATCGGTAACTATGACAGATGACAGAATCAATCAAGTGTGCCACTCTTACTACAATTCCTTCAATAACTGAACAAAAATATTACTAATGAGTGATAATATTTTCAAATAAAAATTTATTCTACAAAGTTAAAGAAGCTTATTGGCAATAACAATTATTAAGCTTTGTTATTGCTGAGTGAGTTTCTATTGAGAGAAACATCAATTGTTTCCAAGCTTATGTGAATATCAGCACTTCTCAATGTCTGTCAGCCTTAGTATAAGCTATCCTGGCTCTTTAGTCCATTAAAGTTGTATTACTAAAATTGCATATGTTTATTCCTTACTGTTGGCCTACATTGTTATTGTTAAGACAAAATACTGTTAAAAACAGATCAATTACTATCATGGGATTTTTGTCATTGATGTGTTTACTAGGATGTGATTAGTTTTCAATTAGTCAGAAATAAAAATTCCTTTAAACCTTCTATATTTTATTTTAACAGACTTACTATTGGTCTGATTGTCTGATCCAGTTTTCCCAATGAAAGTTAAGAATCATCTGTGGTTTGTCAATACTACTTTGCCAAAAGTTGGTCTTATGATTTACACAAATTGTGACCCTATTAGTTAAAAAGATTCAAACATTTGCTGCATAACATATGTTATAAAATTTTGTACCCTGAAAATTGTTTAGTCTCGATAATTGTACCAAAACGTAAAACAACAAAATGTTAGATTGTGTTACAAAAAACATAAATCTGCTTTTAACTCTTAGTTTTAGTATTTTGTCTCTATCAAGGCACACAAAGTTTCCAATGTGAGCTAGTTTTTCCACTCAACCTCTTGAAATGTTTCTTTGAACGCACAAATACCAGCAAGAGCCAGGGTGGTTTGTGTGTGTGTGTCTATCCTCACTTGTGTGTTTTCTGATCAAGCCTCCGTCCGCAAACCCCCAACCAAGCTTCCACTTTCGCCTCAGGAAACTTTGCAGCCAGGTCAGTGTCCGGGACAAGCAGTTAGTCGTCGGAACAGTTACGTTCACACTGGAAACTTAAAACTTTACTACCAAAGCACTTCTCACACAGTTGCTTAATTAAGGCTAGATTGGTAACAAATCCAAAGTTGAAAAATATTTTCAACTGAATTTATTAGTTTTTTTTTAAATTATCTTTATTAATTTCAAAATGTTTAAATTTCTAGTTTCCAGTGTCAATGTAATTTTAGACCCCACTCCCTTCCTTGCAGTATTTGGTTTTTTTCAAACATTCTATTGAAGTAGAGCACCCTATACAGGAGTACCTGTTAGAAATAAACTTTAGTATTCTGAAACAGCTGATCAGTTTTCAACTTTTGTTTCTCTCAGATTGGTTCCACTTCTACAGTTGATTGTGATTTTAGTATTTATGGCTTCATTTAGTGTGGCTTATTTCGTAGCTTTAATATTTTTAATTTATTATTTTGATCTTGTATTTTTTTTTTCAATCTTGACATAATTTCAATATTGTACACTCTTGATGACTAATTTGATTTCCCTGACAATATTAATTTCAAAATATTTTCATTCAAATTTTACTGTCAGTAGTGCCATTCTCAAATATCCGTTTCTTGATAATTAGATTTTTTAGCCCCTACAAAATTGTATGACAAATTTCCCTTAATTGTGCCCAAACAGAATTTCATACCATTCACATTTCTCTCATTCTTGAGTTTTTTAATTTTAAAACCAGTTCTGAATATAAATATTAAATCTCATTATGGTCTCGTTTGCAGGACACATCAAGTCTAGAACGATGAAGTCAGTTTATTATGTGCTTGTCCTGGTCTGTTTGTTTAGCCTGCTTTCTCTTTTGTTTCCTCTATGGAGCGCCTGGCTTAATACTTTACTTTCATCCTGATTACCACATGTGCCTAGTGTCTCTAAAACTTAATAACTAAAAAATATACTGATTTTTTAATTGATCTACAAAATTCTGAGTTTTAGGGACACTAAACTGTTTATAGCTTGTGTTAATTGTGTCCATTGTGTATATATATTTTACTTAATACAAATATAGTTGTTATGATTTTTATTACAAATCATAATTGATTTAATGACTTATTTAGTGTTTTTGGCTTTGAGTGAATAAATTTATCACTATCCCTAGTGTAAACATGTAGGTGCTAACCATACTTACTAGATTTCATAATGCTATTGTTTTTAATACGACCCATTAAAAAAATAAAATCAACTTTTACATCTGTGAAACATTGAATTATTAGAATGTATTATTTATGTGTGATAGCAATAATGTAGAAATAGTTTAGAAAGCTTCTCGGAATAAGCTTTCCGTGTGGCTTTCCAGCACAGTGCCTAAAACGATCCCTCACTCACATAGAGTAGCTTTTAGTGTTGTATATTATTGCAAATAAAATTATTTAGGATAAGGTTTTCACTGATAATTGTGTTAAAAACCCTGTATTAAACTAACTTGTAGAAAAATAGGTGAATGGTGGGAATAGGTGATAGTGTACAAATTCTTGGGCTTGTGAACTCTTTGAAAGAACATGCAACGGGATGTTTAGGTAAATTCTGGTTTAAAAGGTTGTTATTGTTATCTATAATGGTTTTCTGAGCCATAAGTTGAGAATTGAAGAGTAAATGTTATGTGTTAACCCGGTGTTAGTATAGTTCTTGCTAAGATAGTCTGTGTTGGTGGTGGATACTTCTTCAACTTCTGTGTTGGGTGAGTAACTGGTTTTTGTCTTTGTGAACCACAATTGTAATTTATTTTGGATACATTTACCCTCAAATGTTGAAACAGGTGTTGAATTTGACAATAGAATGTTTTACTTTCTAATATTTTTATTATCAAAACAATCGTAAGTACATCCAAAATAATTTACATTGCACTTACTTTGTGTTGTTTGCTGTGTGGGTTGTGAATTAGTCTGAATGTGACTAACCCTCAAAACCATTCCGTATTTTTTAATAACACTTTCTTATTTTGTCATACTCTTAGATACAATTTCAAGGATAAATGGGCATATCTCTGTCATTGTCCATCTCTTGAAGTATACATATATGCAGATTTTAGAGTTATAAAAACAGTATAGTTGAATTGATAAAGTCATAAAAGTTACAAAAAATCAAAGTCAATTAAAAAAAAAGATATTTAAACTGTAATAAAAAATAGATATTTAAAATATTTTGAAAATCTAGTTGTTTAAAAAATGTAAAATCACAATGTTTACTATTTGGCTGACTAATAGCTAAAAAACATTTTTATTTATAAAAGCCATTCAATTACATTCCGCAGTTGTTTATGTGGATACTGAAGTAGTTATATCTGCAGTTTTGCCTGTTTTATTATAGCTCTCTCAGTGTTAAAAAACCAGTAGTTAACAACAACAAAAAATCTAAATCAATTGATATACAACAGATAAATATCAATGAGGAGGGTTTAAAAGAAGCAATATTGTATTGTAACTAACAATATTCAGCTGATACACACACTGTTATTCGTAGATTATGATGTTTTGACATACGTCGTACAGTATCAGAAATACTGATACAAATTTTCTTTGCTCTACTCTAAAAAAGTAAATTATTGTTTACCTTTTATGACCCAATTTCATAATTTGTCAGGAAAAATGTTTTATGTTTTAAATTCCAATTATTTTGAAATGCATATTTTACAAGAACAGATTTGGTTGTTTTTGCCATCATTAATGTACCTATGAAGTGCAAATTCGTATCAAGAAGAATTGTTCATATAAGAAATTTGAAAACGTAAATCAGGCCATTGCATATTTCTACTTCAGTATTGACAACAGTAGGATTGGTAGATGGTAGATAAGTGAGTGCATGAGCATGGTCAGTCGTAGAGCATGGCGGGGGTGATACAAAGAGCCCCGTAGCAGAGCCCCGAGCCCCCACAACAACCAAACCACCACGTACGCCGCAACCATCCACCAGCCAATCAAGTAAGTCTTGGTTATTGTTCCGTCTCTATACTGTCTGCTGAGCATGATGTAACGCTTAGTCTTGTCCTTGTCAAAGATTGGCGTCGAAGTTTGTATTGTCTGTTAAAAGTAATTTGCTCTTAGTTTTTTTAAGTGTAGATTCCATGGTGTGCTTGAAATTAGCACTTATATTTTTTTTATCTTGAAAAGGAGTAGTGTTTGTAAAAGTAATTGTGCTTGAGACTGAAATGTGTAAAACATTTAATGTATAGGTTTGAATAGAAGCTTTTAAAATATTAGCTTTTTACTTCACTTTTAAATCTCAGCTTTTTTTAGTTTGAAATTTTGCATTGAAACTGTTGTCTATGATTACTGTGACTTTTAGGTCCTATTTATTGCCTGTAAAAACTGAGAAAGGGTTAAATATTTGTATTTCTTAATTTATTTAAAAAAATTCATTTGGTAAATCTTGATAATGCAAGACTTTAACAAACGCTTACTTGCATTTTAATTGCGTATAATATATATCTAATATTTTAATAACTGAATATGATTGTCTCTCTAAAACTGGCTTGAACTTTTCTAATTTATATTCATTTTTCTAATAATGTTTCATATATTTTCATTTTACTATAGTTTACTGTAGTATACCTCTAAATGAAATTTTTACTGCCTAAACACTTCTGCTATGTCCTAAAATAACTAATAGATACAATTTATTAGATACAATTTATTCAATTTCATTTTTTCTGAGAGGAATTTGTTTTTGACGTCCATTCAATCCAATCTAACAGATCTAAAGTTGAAACTCTAGGTAATATAGTTTCAAGCATCTTGCAGCATGTATAGCATGTGCATGCTAGTGTTGTCATGTTGTCTATGTAGCTTTTAGTCAGTGTTGCCACTGTTCAGAAAGTAAATTTCCCTTATCCCCCTCTAGCCAACCTTAAAATTTATAATAATAAACAACATCGACAGTAGCGTCTACCAAATTATATTGATTGTATATTTTTACATTTTTATATATGTTTACCATCTCAAAGATTACACCCTATATAAAGAAACAATTACCAATTGTAAAAAAACACGTTAAACATGCAAATCATGTATGAAAATAATAAAATACTGTCAAAGCTTTTATTCCTATGAAAAAAAAATATCCTTAACGCTCTAAATTAATCAGAGGTAACCAAACACATTTTAAAACAAACCAACATTTTACCTTGGTAATTCACATAAATTCAACTCCACAAAAATAAAATAATTAATTAACCTAACAGAATCTTGTAGGGATGGTCAAGTCTCGAAATTTCGGGAAATTTTCGGGAAATTTTAAATCTCGTTACACGAGACGAGATTTCTTTTTGGCTGAGATTTTTATCGAGACGAGAATAAAAAAAAAAAAATTAAAAACGCCTGCAGAAAGTCAATGCAATACCCGCAATACAGGAGCGTGTTGTAGTTGCGTTTCCTTTGCGAAGGCGTTCTTATTTAATTAATTCTATAAATGTAAATATTACTTTAATTATTTTAATAATATTACTTTAATAACATTTGAGAAGTTTTGTTAAGTGTAAGCAGTGTGAGGAATGTTTTATTACTATAAAAAGTCAAAACAAGTAACTATTTTATAAAAATTAATATTGCTTTTATTTTATGATTTATTTTATTTTAGGATAAGTTGAACTCTATCCTAACTGATATCACTATGTTTCCTAATCGTAGGCATTTTTAATAAGTTAGGCGTGATTAATAAAAAAATGTTATTCTAATGTTAAAAGATTGTAAATATTCTTGCCTATTATCATTATTTTTGTATTTAAACAGTCATCTAACAATGTTACAAAATCAGGTAAAAATTTTGAACGTGCATTTCCCGTTGTGTATGAGAAGGGAAATCCCGTCTCAATCTCGTCTCGAAATTTTATGAGAAATAAAAAATCTTGTCTCGTCTCGTCTTAAACTAAAAATTTAATCTCGTCCATCCCTAGAATCTTGATAATTTATTAAGTACAACATAGTCACCTTATAACTTATGAATTTTCAAGCTTGGAGACATATTTTTTACCTCCTTATCTCTCCAAACAATAATGGTGTCTAAAAGTATCTTTGTAAGCAAAAAAATCTAAAAATATCCTTCTAACCAAAAATAGTCTCTAATATTACCTCCTTAACTACAAAAAGTGTCAACAATATTATCTCTAAAAAAAGAAAATAAATAGTTTCTAAAAGTACCTCACCCCATATTACCTGATTTCGTGGGGGGGATTTACTGTCCGCGACGGTGGCAGCACTGGTAGTGAATGTTGTGTCGTGGCAGCTGTGAGCGCCAGACAGAGCGCGAAGGACTCGGCCACTCTTGGTCGAAAGAAGGACCGCAGCAGGTCCAAGTCTCCATTCCGCAGTTTCCGATGGAAGAAGTCTTCTCCGAAGAGTTCACCAGCGCAGGGCAGCGCCAGCGATGACGAAGGCAATTTAGAGCGAGCCGCAGGTAACTGTCATGAGCTGACAATAGTTGGTGTCGGAAAATTATATTTTGAAAAATATTTCCTCTTGGCAAAATTAATTGCTAGACTTTTTTCGGTAATATTATGCCTTTTGATGTCCTCATTGAAATTTATTTTCGCAATAGAAATAAAACCATGATAAATTATTCGACAAGTGTAAATGTGTAACTACCAACTAACATTTTGTTAAACCCCTAAAAAAACTCAATATAAGCCTCGTTCACACGGGGCGAGTTTACACACTACTCACCGGCGTGTAAGAAGCCGGCGAGTTGGCGAGTGCGCTTGTAGTCGTTCACACGATGCTTTTTCCACTCGCTCAGTAGCTGGCTTGAACTAAATCCTCCAACATCTTTGAATAACATGCGTACAAGCACAAGCAACTGTGTTCACACTGGGCTACTTTACACGCCTACTCGCTCAAAAGCTGGCGAGTTGGCATGTAAATTAGCGGCAGCGTCAACTTTTTCCAGAGCTTTTTTACAAGCAGCTTTTGAGCGAGTATGTCGTTCACACTGAGCTATTTTACTAGCTGTGTGTAAAAAATCCGGCTTGTAGCTTGCAAACTCTCCCCGTGTGAACGGGGCTATATTGTCCGTTATAAAACGTGTATATTGTTTTACTATTTGTAAAAAAATTCAACAAATTTTATACTTAAGTAAAATGTTTTGTTCAATAGTGAAGTGATTCATTTTAAATTACATGTTTTTTTGTAGGCCTACATTTGCTTAAAAAAATGCAAAACATTAAAACTGTTAAAAATCTTTGATCAAAAAAATGTTGCAGCAAACACAACAGAAATATTCCATAATCTAGTAAATCAACTCCCAAGATAACATATTAATTTCATATCCTTCAGAATAATTTTGAAGTACGAATACGATGTTGATATTTTACGCTTGAGGATTCCAAAGCAAAACTTCTCTAGACCAACTATTTTCAGACTGTAGTTGTCTTTGCATGAGTATGCAGTGTTTAGCCTGTCTATTGTGTGATGTCGTAAATGTTTACAGTGTTTGTGTTTCCTTACAAACCAAGGTAAGTAAGTACGATAGCTGTAATTTAAAACAAATATTTGAGATGTAACGTTTTACTCAGAATTTAGTTGTATTTAAGGGTTAACACAGTTTCTTAAATATTCTAGTTTATTACAATTAAAGGTAATGCGTTGTTAGGGTTTAAGATCGATTAAATAAGATATAATGGATGAACATAGTTTGGTATTTTGCCATAATATTAACTCTAAACTTTTTCATTTAAACTTTAAAATAGTTTCTAAAGGTAATACTTTTACTAAAAATCTATTTTCTACAAAGGAAGATTAGAAATAACCGGCGTTTTACTAGTTAATGTTTCAACACAGAACACAGTTGACAAGTTAATGTTTGTTTGGATAGTTAAAAGTGAATGTCGCCACCAGCTGTCTCGTTAGGTTGCAACAACAGAACACAGGTGTACGAGTATTCGCTTATTCTCTATCAGCTCTAATGAACTTATCTGTAGACGGTTTAATTGTTTCCGAGTCCACGGCCTCATGGCCTGTCGCGCTTATTCTTTTCACCGCCTTAGCATTCATGGTGAGTTTACAAGTCTGAAAAGGTTTACATGAGTTTTTCTCGGAATTTCGCTTTATGTAGGTTTTATTTTGTTAAATTAAATGCTTCTCTTTTATTTGATAATAGGTTAAACATAGTTATGTTACGCAGGACAGTTTTTTTTCAGTAGGTTTGTGTTGTCTTTTTGGGGTCATAAATTAGATAACATAAGTGTTGTTAATGTAGAGTCCATAAAACCAGCAATGTCAATGTAGTCTTTCAAGAATTGCCTTTTTTTGTAGTTTATAATAACATTGTCAGCTCCCCAAAATTCAAACAATCCGTATTAGGTTATATTATTCAGATGATAACAGAAATGTACAACCTAATTTACAATGTTCTCAAGTTCAAAATGTGTTTTGTATTGCAATAAGTCTAATAAATATGTTAGGACAAAACCAAGCCCTTAATATCTTTTACTTAGTTCTCCATGAGCGCCTTATCAGAAACATAAACAGTTATCTAAGTAACATGTTCCGCCCTTGAGATTTAATGCATTGTTAATTTTTATTGTTGACTGCTATAGCAAAATCAACCTCTACAAAGTAATCTTTTTATGAAAGTCATGTCTAACAATGCCAATTTATATGACTGAAAAACTGTTTCTTCAAAAATAATAGCAAAAGAATAGCATTTTAGTAACTTCTAAGCTTACCAATCTTTAATCTGGTCCGTTGAATTTATTTATTTTCAGCAACACTTTCCTGCTACTTTATTGTCTATGTTAGAAAGAGAAAGGCACTTAAGCATTTTTATTTTTGTATAAAGCGTTTAGGGATGGTCAAGTCTCGAAATTTTGGGAAATTTTCGTGAAATTTTAAATCTCGTTACACGAGACGAGATTTCTTTTTGGCAGAAATTTTTATCGAGACGAGAATAAAAAAAAAATTTTAATTTAAAAACGCCTGCAGAAAGTCAATGCAATACCCGCAATACAGGAGCGTGTTGTAGTTGCGTTTCCTTTGTGAATGCGTTCTTATTTAATTAATTCTTTAAATGTAAATATTACTTTAATTATTTAAATAATATTACTTTAATAACATTTGAGAAGTTTTGTTAAGTGTAAGCAGTGTGAGGAATGTTTTATTACTATAAAAAGTCAAAACAAGTAACTATTTTATAAAAATTAATATTGCTTTTATTTTATTATTTATTTTATTTTAGGATAAGTTGAACTCTATCCTAACTGATATCACTATGTTTTCTAATTGTAGGCATTTTTAATAAGTTAGGCGTGATTAATAAAAAAATGTTATGCTGATGTTTTTTAATAAATATTGTAAATATTCTTGCCTGTTATCATTATTTTTGTATTTAAACAGTCATCTAACAATGTTACAAAATCAGGTAAAAATTTTGAACGTGTATTTCCCGTTGTGTATGAGAAGGGAAATCCCGTCTCGATCTTGTCTCGAAATTTTATGAGAAATAAAAAATCTTGTCTCGTCTCGTCTCGAACTAAAAATCCAATCTCGTCCATCCCTAAAGCGTATGGTAATTAAATCTAATTTCAATTAGTATTAGTGCATAAGAAGTATACCTTTTTATCCCACCACAAGTTGGAGCAACCAATGTCATATTTGGATTTAAACATTTTGTTTACCCTGTCCAGCATATTGCTTCTGTAATGTCGTGAATGTGAGATTGTGACTAACGAGACTGGCTGTTGGTTTACAGAGAGGCCGAGCCCTGGAGGAGAGGAGAGTCCTCTGGAAGGTCTGCTTGTCCGTAAACACGAGTGGGAAAACACTACCAAGAAAGCCTCCAACAGGTATACTGATAAAGCTTATTTAAGAATTTTTGTTATAGCGACAAATAGGAAGGAGTTTTTTTTGGCACAAGAAACACAATAAACTCTATAACTCAAAACTTGGCTGAAAATGCTGTCAGTGGCTGTGAAAATTCTAACTTTTGTGTGTAGCATGACAAATTTTGTGTTTATTATTCTTACGCCAGAATGTGGACTCTTTCCCATTCAGGTTTTTGCTAACCGACTATAATCTTACCTAGGCCTTTGTGCTTTATGTTGCACCCTTAACCTCAGACTATTAAATTAATTTATTGTTTTGAACGAGTAAGAATTGATATTTTGTATTGCTTTTTCACCCTTTAACTGTTAAAAAGGTTCATAAGGTTCAAAAGGTACACAAGCTTCCCACGCATCCTTGAAATCCTTTAAGTCCTTGAATTTTACTCTTGAATCTACTTTTCTGGAGATATACCAGCAGGTTTTTGTACCATTCTTGTATATTGAAAATAAGACTCCCAACTATCCACAAGAGGATTAATCATGCTGTGGATTAATCACAATCACAAAATATTAGCTATTTTTTAATCTGTTAGGGGTTGGTGACTTTTAATGTCTAGAACTGTGTCCAAAAACCTCTGTTACATTTGACGACAAAATGTATAGTCAAATTCATATTTTTAGGGTCCAATGGGGGGATTTCGCCCTCCCCCCTTGGAATGGCCACTGAATAGGTTGCCAATAATAACAATATTAGTTTTGATGTTATGACACCAAAGTTAAATTATGTGTAATGTGAATTTTATTGGATATTATCGTTTTATTTTAGGTCGTTTCTATTCAGACCTACTGGAAATTGTGAATAGTAGTTGTATTTTGGTGATAATAATTATGGAAGAGGCAGGTATGCTATGGAAGGTGGTATCGTTGACTAGGTCTATACACTTCTCAATTGACTATTCCTCTCTCTACCGTACGCTACTTATAATCAGTGTGCGTCTGTGCGAATCAGCTGCAAATCTCACTTCATCGCTTTTCACATCGTAAAAATTACAGAATTGCTGTTTTATTGTAAAATTATCGGATTTAAAATGCATATCGTATAGACCTATGATGGAATAAAAACATATTTGGTCACACAACATTTGTTTACAAGATGATTTTTCACATTAAAACTGCAAGAAACTTTGTCTTTATATGTATAAACTAGCTGATCTGAATTGTACACGGTTTTAACTGACTACTGAATTCCCGTACGTAGGACGGGCTAACACCTCGTACTATTTATTTTGCAAATTTACATGAGTAAAGCAAAGTTAAGAGATATGTAGGCCCTACGCTGCATTTAAAATGTTTCATTAACACCTAAACCTAGGTATTATAGCTTAACTATTCATTCAAAGTTGATTTTATGTTATGTTCCCGGGCATTTTAGGTTAGGTTAGCACACTCCATTATCGACTATCACTCAGCCACTCATGGTGGCGGTTGATTAGGAGTCTACTGAACTTTCCTTCTGCTACTATAAGGAAATATAAAAATATTAATCAGCCTTGTTATAGTTATCTAATACACATTCAACATCTATGTCAGGTTTTAGAGCGTTTAAACTAGAAAATTTAGCTTGGTAATTACTGGTTGAACAATATAAATTGCGATTTGTGTTTGATGATTAATCAAATTTATTATGTGTCATGGCAGGTCGTGGGACAAGTTGTACGTGGTTGTCCGAGGCACCAAGCTGTGTTTCTACAAGGACGCCAAGAGTGCTAAGGCAGCACCTGATGTATATGCTAAGGGCGAGACGCCCCTCGACTTGAGAGGAGGAAGTTGCGACGTCGCCTCTGACTACACCAAGAAGAAACACGTCCTCAGAGTCAAGTGAGTATTGTTGCGACAGGAGAATGTCAATTGCAAATTCTAGGTGTTTACCAGACATTTAAGTACAGTCTACTCTTGGTCATTCAAAATTTGATAAAAACTTTTGATAAGGTATAATAAAAGCTCATTGAATCTCTTGATATTTCAACATTTTACTACATATTTTGATGCACTCGGTATTACAAAATTCAAGCAGAGGGCAGGATGATTTGAAACACACAGTAATTCAAAGTTTTGTCAGCAGAACCCATCTTCATTTGAAGGGATGGAGATAAACTTGTAGATTTATTCCTGTCATGACAGGAAACTATAAATCCTTTTAGGCTTAGTAGGTTTGTTGTTCCTGAAAGCCATTTCCCCATGGGGAACACGCTGTAGTTCCTAAACGAGTAGCCATATTGGAAAGTTAGCCGCCTTATTGGAAAATGGTGGCCATTTTGAAAAAAATTTAATTAATATTTTTACTGTCATAGTTGAAGTTTTCCATTTAATGTTTTATTTAAATCTAATAGTTTCTGAGTTACACAGTTACGTTGTTCGTTTAAATTTTATATTACGACTGTTTACAAAGTAATCATACTCAAGGAAAAGTCACCTTAAAAACTATTTTAATAGGGAATCTGTCACAACATATTGGTTTGTAAATGTAGTGACTTTGTTGTACCTTATATTACAATTTATTATATTGGTTATTATTGATATTCTGTGTTGCAGGGCTGCCAATGGTGCTGAGATCCTACTGCAGGCCAAGGACGATGATGAGATGCGTCAGTGGGTCGGTGTGTTGGCCGGCCTGAGTGATGCTAGCAGTGGCGGCCCTTCTCGCTCCCACACACTCCCCGCCCCGGCCCCGGGCAAAGACGAGCCTAAGAGACGCAGCTTCTTCACTCTTAAGAAGAAGTAAGTTAATCAGAAATGTTGTAAACCGTAGTCAAATGGCATTAGCACGGCCGCTGTAGTAAATGGGCCCAGGGCGCAAGAGGGAAGGTAGTGCAAAAGTCTCCCGGGCCCATAGCGCATCGAATGCAAATGTGGTCTTGGTCATTTGGAATATTTTAAGTTTATATTTATTGTTGTCAATTTGTTAGTTTCAATTTCAATATATTTTCTAATACCAATACGTTAAAAGATTGATACACACTGTAACAGTTATCTTGTATTCACTAATCTATACTTTTATTGTCGATTTAAAGGTTGGATGTTTGTTTCTCAACAATGATTTGTACAAGAATGACTGTGAAGAATTTAATGAAGAGTAAAAATAAAGATAATTTGATAAAGAGTAAAATATGGAATATAATTAATTATGCCTGTTGTTGGTTTGATATATACAGTAGATCCAGGGCTTTGTCCTAAGCATTCAAATGTCCATTACTGATTTTAACTGATTGTTTTGTTTTGTTGCAGCTAAGTGTAAAGTAAAGCGGTGGACAGTAGCACGCTGACGACGTCAACAGCATTCTTCTATTTCCGCAATATTCAACATAGATACTGCCAGTTTTCGTTTACACACAAATATTTATATTCATTCATTATTTAAAGCTGTGTCATTTTGATCATTTCGCTGTTTGTCACGAGGAACGTGTGTCGTGTAATATAGGAAGAGGTGTTTGTTGGTGTGCGATGTTCCGAGGGTGTCCTGGGACTTGTACAGCTTCCTTACGTGTTGTTTGCATCACTACAACTCACACTGATTTGTTGCTTTTGTATTTAATATTTAGGTTATTCATTTAAGCTATTATATAGTATTTTATTGAAAGAAAGTTTATAATACAAAAAAATATATATAACGTATAAATAAATCTTGTGTATTTTTTAAAAGAACGCTATACTGATGTTTATTTTAGATCGTTAGATTAAATAGTAGCTAGTCACCGATGGTTATCGCTTGTTTTCCAGAGTCTTCAGGTTGAAGTGTACGTATCGTAGTTGTCGGCTGTATTCGCTTGAAACAGTTGGCCATTTTTCGATATCGCTATCAAAATTTTCATCGTTGTTTATTTGTTCGATTGGCTTTAAGAAAAATTAATATATAGAAACAGTTATGATATAAATGTTAATGTCTTATTTGGTAAGCTATTTTAATTTTTGACTTATAAAAATGTTTCAGTATAATTAAAGTTCTCCACTTCGATTGTTGTGTTACTTGTTTTGATCCTGAAAATCCACTGTTCTTTTAGTTAAGATGGTGTATCTATAAACAAATTGAGATTATTTAGTTTTTAAGTTTAAAAGGTTATATAGATTTGATTGTGTCAGTGTGGTAAGCTGGATTGAAGCTCACTAGATCCCTTCCCCAACCGCCACTTTTGTTTTTTTGCACAGCCATGTCAACAATTATTATTTGCCGTGGGATTATTTGCCACTAGAGTGTTGTCAGGAGCCAGCCCTCACCCTCCCACATGCCATGTCAGCTGACACAGTCCTTACCAAATGACAATTATTATTGTCTTTTCCATTATTAATAATTATGAAATTTTTGGCCTTTTATAAATTGAAATTAAAAATACCTCAAAAATGTAAAGTATTTAATAAAAATGAATAAAAACAACTAATACTAGATGAACATAACACTCAAAGGAATAGCTAGAGTTAATTCATGAGTAAAACTAATTCGTACAAAAAATACTTAAGCACACGTTCGTTAATTTTTATCTGAGTCTTAAAATCAAAATCCAAGCTATCACAGTATTGTATAATGATATGTTTTTCAATCTGGTTTTGTAGATGATTGGAAATACAGTACATAATTTCATTACTTCCACGTCCATGGCATGTGTATTTCCTGTTAAATGACTTTTACTGGAAGTATTCCTCCTGGTAAAAACTGAATTTTTTGATCAGTTATTAGAATTGTCTCTTGTAGTTTGACTACTGTTGAAAATTAAATAACATAAATGTTAATACAAGCTCAAGCTGGATTTTTCCAGTACACAGACAATCTTATTTGTTTTTATAATCTGAAATGTGCGTTTTCCTAGCTGCCGATTTTTGCAGGGTTTTAAATGGCATGCTTCAAATCTTTAATGCAATGAGTTTTTTTTTTTGGTAGAATTTTGCTGCTAAACAAAGCTTGTAACTTTATGTGTTCAGTTTTAACCAAATGAAAATACCCCTGCTGCAGCGGGTTTGGATGATATCTCGTGAAAGCCCTTCGTCCTAAAGGCTTTTAAAATGTCAGAGTTTGTGCTGAATTATGTTGTCTTATCATCTGAACCGTTTCAAGTTAACATTTGTTTACATCAAAACAGATGGCCATAGTACCATTTTTTTTACAACCATACGAAAATGGGGTTATCTGTAGTGGTGATGTTTCAGTGGTTTCAAGTAAAATAAAATAATGTAATGCTATTTGTATAAAATGTAAAGAAGAAAATGACCCACGTTGGATTTTGTGTTCTTAAAGGATTTTGTGTTATCGTAGTATGTTTCATTGATGTTTTAGGGCATTTGAAGTAAAATATTGTAATGTTATTTTATTTGTTTAAAATTTAAAGAAGAGATTTTGTATTTTCATAGTATGTTTCATTAGTATTTGTAATTTTACTAAGATGCCTTGAAGAGATTGCGCACACACTGCAAATAATAGGAAAATGATGAGAAATAATCGTTTTCACCCTTATCAACTACATATTAAATATATCACAAAGTGACGCAGGCTGCTAGTTTTAAATTAAATTTTTTTTTATTATCTTCGTAACCGTTAAACATACAACGCTTCAATATACAAAATTTTTTATCTTTTTCAGCTTTAGAAAGAAACTGTGAAATTTTATGTTTTTAGAGTAAAAAAATCGGAATAACCAATTCCTACCCCATAAAATCCCGTTCCCATAGTACGATCATGCTGGTTCGCGAACTCGTTTGAATAAATGTAGGTTTACACGTTTGTACCAAATTTCATCAAAATCGGATCATTTTAGCTCGAGTTATCGTGCTAACGGATACATATTTATATATATTATATGAATTTGAACGGAGGGTGTTTTTGGCCTCTGGGGACCTCAAAACAAAAAAGTAAATTGGTCCCGGGTCTAGGACTTACCATGAGACCTACGGTAATAGCTTATTCCCTTTATGGGAAATTCGCTAAAAACAGCCGTGTTCAGAAATTAGGTAAAAATTTAATTAAATTGATAATTGATAAACATGCTTCTTACAGCATCAATGTTTTGTTAAATGATTGGCTACTAGAGGAAAATTTGAAGCAATCCACGTGTAAGTAACTTGTAATTTATAAAGAGTGTTTAACATAATGTGCAGTAAATCAATTTACTTGATAAATTCAATTCATAATTAATTAGGCTAGTGTGTTAAATTATGGATTAATTTCAACATTGTATCATGTTAAAATTGCGCAACTGGCACTCTGGTTCAAGGTAAGTAAAATATGGGGTGTATCAAGGCTAATCCTTGGCCCCGTATTAGATTTAAAATATACATTAGTTTCTCAGTTTCTCACAGATCATTATACCACAACAGCTTCTACTCTTTTATATTTTATGAAGTGACAAAAATATTTCTCAAATGTTTTAAAGGATTAAAGGTAATGATGAATTTCAGGGCCTTTCAAAGTCTTAATGGATAATCACTTTTAATCAGTTAATAAAGGTAATAAACTTCATCTTCAGAAAAGAAATGTTATTATTTGCTCTTCAATAAAATATTTCTACTAAACAGAACGGAATACATGTGTGGAATTTTAAATTTACAATTTTTTGGGTGTAAAAGCATTCATTTAAGTATTAAACAGATTTTTCTATCAGATATCTTATTTTATTTTAGTTACATTTTATTAGTCTCATTTAAGTTAAAGTTTTATAAATAATGTTTTGCAATCATAAAATACCTAATTTAATTCTTTAAATTTATATTTTGATGTTTTGTATTTACCGTTTTCATCATTGTTATAGATACCCCAATTTCATTACTATCCTTATAGCCTAGTTTTGCGGTTTTTTGTTATGTCCATATTCTATTTTGTGTTTGAACCATAAAAGGCATAACCCATAAGCTAAATGGGAATGAATATTTATTTGAGAGATATGGTAGTATTTCACAAGATCCAACATTTATATTGCATTTAGGAAGATCCAAAGATAGGTAGATCCAAAAGAACAATCATAACTAGAAGTACAATTTTACATTGTCAAGTTAACTTATGAAATAGACTGTCTGTTTCACTTTGGATCTTCCGACCAGAGTTAGGTCGGATTCGGAAGTTCCAAAAGATGAGTTATTGTGTCTCTCATATTGAAGGTGTTTAAAATACACGCCGTTGCCTTGTGCCTTCTTATTTGTTTTCCTACAGTTACCTAACAATGTACATGTTCTCTCACTGATTTGAGAAAGCAAAGTGGCCAATTCGCTCATCAGTGTGACAATGTTAACATTGTCTCACTCTAATTACTTTGTCTCACTCCAGATTTGCAACGTGAAGGCACGAAATAGTGAGCGCGTAACATGCAGGCAACGTCGTATGCGCGCGAAATACGTTGGCAGCACTGGCTGTAAATCAGCTGGTCAGCTGTTGTACAGTTGTATTTGTCACTTCACATTAAATGTTATATTAAAAGTTCACTTCTGTGTAAAAATAGGTTATGTTTCTTCACAAATTTATTTGTTTTATGGTAACTGTAGGAAAAGTATAATGTGCAACTCGAGTTCAAAGTACAATTGCCTCACTCGAGAAACCATTCCTCACTCGCCTACGGCTTGTGAGTAAGGATTTCTCTCGAGTGAGTCAATTGCTCACTTTTCTCACTAGTTGCACAAATAACTATTTCTTATGTGATGTTTTTAATTAATTATTACTTTCTCCCCCTATATGTGTATTTGAACGCCTTCAATCTTAAAGACTTTAAGATTTGTGTCGTCAGCATAAAGACAAAGATTATTTTGTGGTAAACTTGTTGAGTTACCTGCATCATTAATGTAGCACCACAGAAAACTTACTACTATAACATGAGATTATAGTACCGGTAGTATGTTTTCTGTGGTAGCACACAAACAATAGAGGACCCAGGATTGAACCCTGGGGAACACCACAGGTTAGTTGGTATACATTATTATGTATAAAATAAGAAAATATTGCCTTCTCCTTGTTATAAAATACAACACTGACTGCAAATCCTTGCGTTGCGACAATATGCTATTAACACAACCCATAGTCTGGCTTACCAAAAATTAATGTCTGTACGAACTCTACATTCAAATAAAAACCTTTGACTAAGAATACTGTAGAACTTGATATTTCATCCCCTTGTTATAGTTGTTGCAAGTTTTATATGAACATTGTAGAATTCAGCACTAGAGTATGCTGGTGTAAATTAGGGATTTCTGTTGAATACCGGTAGACAATTGTAAGGTCTTATAGTTTATGTTACATCAACTATCACGGTAACATAAACTGAGGTAGGAAATTAATTTTTTTAGACCGTACCACACTGTGTAACTGACTTAATTATTTTCAGTTATGCAACAAAAGATTTGCCACATCTGGTCAATAAAACATAATATTATGTTTATACATAATTTGCCTCCAGGATTGATTAATAGACATAAGGTTAGTAACCTATCGTCAATCAATCCTATAACAATTGGAAATGGGCCCTTATAACCCTGAAGATTGGAAAATGGGATTTTAACCCAGAAACTATAGTCATCACGACATTGGATTGATTGGCAACAGGTTAGTAACCTTATTTTATGATAATAATTGTTCTTCTGTATCTAGAAGGTTTTAGTTAAGTAGACTATCCAATAGAGGAGGCTAAGCCACCAATAATCAATGATCTTAGCTTATTAGCACAACCATACTGATTCTTATTATAACATACAATCTTCTATTCTCTTTCCCATATGTTGTTTGTAAACATAGCTCACAACTCAAATGTCAAAATCTGTATTTCCCTTGCATGGCGAAAAATTCCGATGTTCTATTTTTAGACTAAATTTCCAGTGATCTCATCGAAGATTCCCACAAATGCGAAAGGTCAAAGGTATTTGACATTGTGATCATTGATTCTAGGATGGCAACTGTAGCAAACAAAGGTAAGACCCTAGCAACACAATCAATATCTGCAGTACTGGGTTGGTTACCGAGCCACCAGTTTACCAGTTACTGTTTTGTCAATAGGAATCAGTAATTTATTTGAGTTTCTACTCACGTGAAGTCAGACCTTTGTAGGAAAATAGAAGCATCCATGAGTTACCCAGGGAGACTAGTTTCAGCGACTTCTGCTGTGGTATGTTAAACTCTCTTATGTCAAGTTCACTGGTCTCTTGAGTAATTAATTTGGTAGCTCTGATAATTGAGTTTGTTTATACACAATGATAACGTTCTAATTAAACTGCTATTTAAACAAAGTAAAATTTATTTAAAATCATACATGCAAAATAGTTATCTTGTAATAAATTTCTGTGTAAGTTGACTTTTTTTAAATTTAAATTTCTTTTTACTTGGTGGCGTTGCTTTTAAATTGTTGCATAACATTTTTCTATACATTTTTACTTATCAACAAAACAAATTGAGGATATGCAATTTTCATGATCTAGGTTTAGTTAATATCATAGACAAAAAGAATTAAATATAGACTGTCAGCCGTGCTGCGGTTACCATGGTTACCATAGGTTCCGGCGCACACCGCTGTAGTTTACGTAGCGTGTACACAGTAACTACAATGGCGCTCCAAGCGGTGTGCGCCAGAACCTATGGTAACCGCAGCACAGCTGACGGTCTATATTTAATTCTTTTTGTCTATGTTAATATTCACTTAAAATATAATCAAGTTTTCTAATTCTGGGGCAGAACCACATGCCAATTATAAGTCAGTCACAACATGATAATAATCATAGTTATCATCATTGATGCTAGTGTGTATGCAATGTTCAAATCAAATTTAAAATACAGCGCTTTTTTTGAAGTTAAAATTAAACTCAGTGTGGTTCAGCTGCACATTTGCTTTGTTAGCTTAGCGATAGGTACTATTGAGGGTAAAGACGGTTTTTTTCTGATTCATAAATAAAATTGTCTATACAAACACCTCAAACACTAAATTGTACTTACTATTCACTAAATACTTATACAGATTATGGTGGTATATTTCAATAGGAAACTCCAAAATGCATCAAACCAGTCACTAAAACAATATACTGTAGCCGAGTGAGAGCTCACTCTATTTTTTTCTGTTAATTTTTCATCCCAATTTTATTTGGAATCCCACCCCTTTTAGTGGGAGGTATATTGAAATATCAAAGCACCAAATTTTACCCCCTATTCTATCCATTATGAATTCAGATGGTAATGAAAAAAATGTTACATTACAGTCAAAATGATGGAGACTAGAAGGCCGTTCTACACTCCTCCGTCCTGCATCCTCAAGACCAGTGCACAGATCATTAGTGAGGCCAGAGCTGCGATGGAACACAAGGCAATGTCTGTACGGGCCGTCCACACTCAGCGACCATTCACACCACGAGATGCACATCGTCTGCTGGGGGGACGACACGGCCGCGGCCGACCACCCAGTGCTATCAGGTAAGGTAATATTTGCTCTCGATTCAACCATGAAAACATTGAGATTATTCCTAAACAGTTGTAACTGTTTAAGTAGGAAACACTCTCATCAGTATGGATGTTGTAAACAGTCAGTATCAGAGATTTCAGGGATTTTAGAGGTATCATTGTCTTTTTATACAGTAATCAAGGTGAGATGCCATCTTTGACTGACAAGAAAGTTCTCCTTGTTGCAGTTTGGGACAGGTCAAATTCCATGACTTTGATGCCATGTTGCCTCGGCTGGGTGCCAGCAGTGTGTCTAGCTTGTATCTCGATGAGAAGTTGCCAAAACCACAGCGTACGAGATTGCCAGCCTTACCTGACGCACGGCGTAGGAAACTTTACAAGACGTCTGCCTCTTTGGAAAACTGTAAGATTTCCTTCTAACTACTGTACACTTATATGAGTTATATGTTGATTCTAACTAAGAAAACATAATCATAATTTTCTCAATTGTCTTTCATTTTTTGTCATCGGGACCTGTAATTTTGGATCAAAATATTAAATATGAGGTATAGGTAACTGAGGATGTTTATGGATTTCAAATACCGGTAGTGCATTTTACTGTCATTAGTTTAGTGTTTTTTTGAAATGCATAATAATCTACTATACAGTTTAGAACTTAATAATTGGATGTCCTTCACAACTAAGCTGCCAAAACTGCTATAATAAACTCTTTTTTGTTAAAGTCCATCTGATTGAAACTTTAAATGGTTTGGATGGCCATTGGCTTATGACTAATACGTCACTGAAAAACTGTGACTATTCAAGATTCATGGAAATTTGGTCAAAAGCATAACTGGTATTTTTAGGTAAGGTATCAGTTCATTTAAATAGATAACTTCAGGTGTCACTCACCTTTATTAAAACAGAAGAAATTAATCCTAATGTCACACCAGTTCAACACACACAAACACACATTTAAACTAGAAAAAAAAAATAAAAATAAATACTAGACACAAGTTCTCAGTTCTGTGGAACTGGTGATGGTGGTATGATGATGATGATGAAGAAGGTCATAACCGGTCACAACTGTGGCTGACATGCACTGGGACATGATCCTCACCGTCCTCACCGATTCAATCAATCAATCAACTACAACACTTACACTGGAGGAAGACCCTGTGCCCTGTGCAATAGGAACATTGGCACAGTGCTCACCGCTCGAGCTCTTCTTGCTTGTCACAAGTATATTACTCTAGCTTACGTACTTGTACTTTAATAGAGCTGCATGGTTGTTCCATAACTAAGTTTTCCTGGACATTACTTCCCTGTGTTATCAAGTAAAAATTATAAATCTATTAGATTATGAGAACTTCTCAAGCAGAAATACGATACAATAATTTTAGATAACTTCTTGATCAGCATTGTACGTGTTATTAAATTTACGGAAAGTAAATAAAGATACGTCTTATAACACTTAAAACATATATTTACGCTTATACTGTTACTCACAAGACGTTAAATATACAAAAAATGGTAAGTGGTGATTGATTTCGATTGGACACTCCAATCATCATCAGACCCAATAGGCGAATCGCCTATTCATTATCGGGGGATCATCATTGGGTCTGATGATGATTGGAGTGTCCAATCAAAATCAATCACCACTTACCATCTTTTGTATATTTAACGTCTTGTGAGTAACAGTATAAGCGTAAATATATGTTTTAAGTGTTATAAGACGTATCTTTATTTACTTTCTGTAATAATTTTAGTAAACCACATCTTTGTGTAATGTAAGGCTTAATAAACAATACTGATGATTTTTATTTTCCCAGTACCAGAAGAAGTGGAGACAGACGTCACCAGTGTTAGTCCACCAACTGTTCGAGAAATACACAGTAGTCCTCAAGAGAGGACTTCCCCCACTCTACCATCACCATTACCCCTCCCCCCCACCACTACGCCTGTCAGGGGCAGCAGACGACGGGGCCTCTCTGTGGCACAGGCGATAAAAGAGGAGAGTGGAGAGGATGCAGAGGCCAAGGTGAATATTTTTTTATTTCACTCTTCACTGTAATTTATTGCAAAGTATAACACTTAACTTATCCAAAATGTAGTTTAATGTGAATTGTTCATAGTTCCTCATAGTAAGCGGTGAATCAAGGATGTGTATACTTTGGTCCACAGAAAAAAATATAAAGTTCACCAATGTATTTTGTTTGAGTTATTGTTTTGACTATTGGTATTAAAAAGACTGTTGTACACTTGAAAATCTCTTGTGTTTGCAGTTCTTAAATCACCTTGTATTACACTCATCATAAATGTTCAACTGACTAGGATTGCCTTTACAACTCTTTGTATTTTTAAGTTAGAACTTAACTACCTATTGAGATTAGTTACATAAAATTTTTTGCCAAGACTGTACACCCGCAGAACGATTTTGGACTTTGATAATTTAACAGTAAAAGATATTCCTCTTTCAAACACATTTATACCTATTGATGTATATTAAAATTACAACTTTTTGTTTTAATTCCAGGAGAACACAGTGAATGATAAATTCCCTCTGGTTGTTGATCTGAAAAAGAAAATCGATAAAAGTAAGCGAGATTTCAAAAGCTTGGCATTCTCAGACCCCCGAGTCTCGCCACAATGCATTGTAGGAATGGACAAGCTGATGGAAAGGGCAGACAATCACATCAATGAAGCAAGAGATAATGCTCAAATTTCAACGGAAGATAATCAAAATAAGTTTCATTCTGCAGAAAAAACGCCTCCGGAAACTGTTGAATCAGTGCTGAATTTGCTACAAGAACTGCAGAAAGAAGGTGCTTAGTGCTTTTACCTTACTCCTTTTTACTGATTTTGGTAATTTTTGTATTACTGTTATCCAACATTGTTTTAACTACAGAAATATTGAGCTATCATCCTCTGCTTGTATTATACAAAGCATTAAAAAGGGTTTTCAGTGTACAACTTAAGGTTAAAAAACTAAATAAATTTGTTGTCAAGGTTCCATCACAATGGTAAAATACAATACATAAAGTTTTGGGGTCTGAAATCTGATCCCGTCCTCCTTGGGTGAAAAAAACTGAACTAACACATTACAACTAACAATACTAACAAATAACAATAACCAACCTAAGTTGGCATACACTACAGTGAGTAGCAGTCAAGTTTATGCACTATATAGCAGTCAAGTCATGATACAAAATGCAAAATATAACCAATCACAAAACACAAAAAATCTACTTTTCTTTTCCTAGGTATAGATTTTTTTTGTAATGTGGTTAGTTAAGTTTTTCACCTGAGGACGGGATCAGATTTCAGATGCCGAAACTTTTATATTGTATTTTACCATTGTGATGGGAAATGACTGCAATAAACCTTAAAACAAAATTAACTCGCCATCACCAACAATAAACTTCAAACAAAGAATAAATAAACTTTTTTTGTTACAATATGATAGGAATTTTGGGTAAATCTCTATATGGGGGAGATTGAAATTATTGTGTACCTTTTCTTGACTAAAGGAGCTGAAATTTTAAGTTTTATTTTATTTTACAGAACTTGATTTATGTAAATACTTACAATGGCTATTTTGTAATTCCATTACAATATCTTACGTGAACAGTTTCTAGACGTTTATGAGTGTCTTTTAGTTTCTTTTGTTTTCCTAGTTTAACTTTTGCAATCAAAAAATGTTGCAGAAGCTACAGAACAATGTATTGTCAATGTGTTTGGACGGCTCTACGAAGCGTTGGAACGAGAGAACGTTCCGTCCTCGAAGAACAACAAACTCAAGTCTCACATCCTCAAAAGCATTTACAAGCTGGTAGAGACGGCTGGGGAGACTCTGCTCATACATATAACAAGAATTGCTCTTATGGTGGGTAGTTTTAGGAAACTAACGACAATATTTATTATTTTTACAGGACGTTGATTACATTACGTAAGTTAGATGACGTAAAAAGATATTTTTGGCAAGAAAACTCTGAATGGAACATTAAAAATTGTGTTTATGTTATAGTACTTTTAACTTCAAACATTTTGGTTCAACTCCTATTGCTGTAAAAATTGCAATTTAAAAGTTAATTATAACGGCTTTTGCGATTTTCCCCAAAAAATAATCAAATTATTTATCAATGGATACCCATGTGCGTTGATAAGGGTTGTTGACAAGCTAACTGGAGAAAGTATGTGTCAGATTGTTGATACAGTACCATTTATTTCAAGTATATTTGTTTGTTTAATAATAAAATGTTATTTTCAGCTGAGAGTCAGTGGCCACAACTTATCAGCTGTTTGTAAACTGATATTCAAAATCTCCCGCACAGATAAAAATGACCAGCTTTTCCAAGACACCAATATACTGGGTATGTAATTTGAATTTTTAACACGTCCCACTCAATGTTGAATGTTTGTTAAGTAAGTGGGTTTTAGACCTTTTTGAGTCTCATAACATTTTTGTAGCATTAATGATTAAATTCTTTGGTTAGAATGAAGAGAACTTAAGTCTAAGAATAGGTTTAGTGGGCTCAAAGTATTTTTCACTTTGAAGTATCACCAAAGAAAATTCCTTGGTATAAAGGTTATTTAAATGATCTACCAAACACCATTAATTTTCATTTACCCCCAATGGAAATCTAGTTTATCACCACAATAATTTTCACTAACTATCAATGCTTGTTCACAGAACTATTTGTGGAGGCTTTAGGACGAGCTAGTCCACTAGAAGACGCCGAGGCGCTCATCTATGGTTATGGAGCGCTCAAGTTCCTCACCATGAACAACCAACTGCTGCGGTTGTCGTTGATGCACGGAGCACTCGAGTTAATGGTGCTACACGTCAAGATTGTCAACAACGCGGTGAGTGTATGTCTTACATGTGATATGATTTTGCTGGGTTTTTGTCGTACAGTAGAGCTGTAGAAACCATCTGAATCTATTTTCCATTCAGCTAGTTTATAAATGAACTCAGATTTATTAAATACTAGTGAGAGTAAAAGTTGGGCTCAAGTGTAAATTATATTAAAGAGATCTCAATTTTCTTTTTTTATATTTTTGATCAAGTTGAAATTATCTTAAACTAGTTCACTAAAAAACTTTGTTTACACGAAGCCAGTATGCAGGCAGACACCTGCCTCAGGTAGCTTGAAATACTTAAAGGGAGGCAGGTAACCTTAGGCAAAATGCCTTTCTAATAGCCTCAAGTAAACATGGCTTAGGGAAAAAATAAGAGAAGGACAAAAATTACTCAACAGCATTGTTTAAAAAGTAAAACAATATTTTACTTTTTTTAAATTACACATTACATAATTAAATCATGAATATATTTTTTCACCTCCTTAAGATACATTTTTCACTTCAACTCCACAAAATATAAAGGGAATTTGGTTGTTGTCTCTTCACATGTTTATTAATTTATCTTTTACTCCACAATGTCGTTGGTGTCGTTGTTGAAAGGAGAGGAAGGTAGAGAAAGAGCCCCAGGGTTGGCTGTGAATGCATTGACCAATGCAAAGGCCCAGAGTGGCTGGTCTGAGGGGACCATGTGACCAGCATCCCTAACCAGTACATCGTACAGACGACGCGTCCCCTTTATGTAGCCTGGGGAAAAACACAACAGTAAACAATCATGAAGAGCAACCATGGGGGCACTATTGCTCTTTCCCTAGGAAAACACTAACATAGGAAAATGATTCATGCTAAGTGTTTTGGACAGCTAAAAACAATTAGAATAAATCTTTGTAATTTATTATAATCATAAATAAAGCATGTAAAGTAATAAATGACATACAAAAAAGAGACGGTCTTTTTCTGACCTTTGGAAAATATGAATTGTCTGCCCATCCTGAAAAACTTCCTGCGGGCACTCTGGGGAGCAACACTACTTGTATGAACTAGCTACATGGTTAAAGTAAATTGAGTGAATGTACACTGTACTTTAAAGCTCTAATCAACTGGATTTAGGGGTTTTTTATGCATGTATTCTTCACGTTTCCCTGGTATGTTACTATAAGGATTCTCAGTGAAAAAGAAAATTATGAAGAGATAAAGTCTAAGTTATAAGTATTTTCCAGGTCTCTTTTTGTTAAGGAAGTAATACAATAATGAAAATTACAAAATATTATTACACTTACCTGCTACGTCTTTCCCCACAAACCATTTGCTTCTTTTTGTGTTCAAATAGTGTTGTTGACCACTCCAGTCTAGAGATCTCAGAAAGTTGACCACCATAGGGTATCCACATATCACGTCCACTTGCCCCACATAGAAGACAATGGGGTAATGCTCCAGAAGTGTTTCTACCAAAGGTTTAACGGATTTTACCATGTCTTCTGTCAGATGGTTGTAAACTTCTCTTGACTCTTCATCAAATTCCAGAGCTCCAACGTGGATTGCCTTACGAGTAGATGTTGATTGAATGAATTCATCCCAGTTGCTTCTATCAGGTTCTTGAGGCAGGTAGTTGTAGACATCAACACTCGCGTATTTGTTGAACAGTTCAAGAATGTTGTTCCAGGAGTCATAAGCAGCGGACCACTGTTCTGCATCAACTTGACTAACAAATAACTTCTGGTAGTGATAGAATTCTTCTCGCTCCGCATAGTCTATCAGGCCAGTTTCGTAAAGGTAGTCGCCGTAGTTTATTTGGTTTCTAGGATCAGTCCAGCCGTCACCGATCATCATTCCGGCCAAATTGATTTTCAGCTGTGCAGAAGGGTTGTTTTTGTGAATCGTGTATCCGATTGTCGGTATGTAATGACCTGCATAAGACTCACCAGTTACAATGAACTTATTCTTCTGCAAGTTTGGAAACAGCTGTAAAAACTGAACTAGCGCTGAGTAGAGGTTTTCCCCGATGACAGTTTGGTTTTCAGCGTAACATTTGTTAGTGGTAAAACTATAACCGGTTCCAACAGGCTGATCGATGAAAAGCAAATTGTTTTTTACGTTCCAAGAATACTTCCTTGTTTTTAAACCTTCTGGGAAAGAGTTAAATGGTCCGTTTTCTTCAAACAATCCGAACATGGAGGATCCGCCCGGACCTCCTTGTAGCCAGAGGACTAGCGGAGCGTTTTCCCAATCTTGCTGAGCCGGGAAGAACCAGAAGAAAAGATTGTTGCCGCAACTCTTGTTGGTAGTTAGGAAACCTGAGTAACTTGTTGTATTGCCTATATCAGGCGTAACCTTGGCTAAGTTCTGAGCCTTACTGATCTGTCCCGCTTGGATGTACGGAGAGAGGAACAAAGGCTGTCCCGGATCATCTCCCTTGGGAATGGAGAATTTGCGAACTCTTGGTGTGAAAATACGAACTTTCGGCACATAGACACATTCCGTACAGCAGATTATTACTGCTAAGAGTGGCAAGAAGCGAGCGTTCATCATTTCAACCTCACTCAGTGACTGTAACTAGCAATTGCTCGGTTCAATAACTCTGTTAATAGTCTTCTTTGTGAGATACCATTGATTCAGTGTTCAGTTATCAACTAACGGCTATTGGTTTTGGCTTGAACTTTGAGAGTGAAGATAACAATTTTGATAGCAAAATATAATTTTAATATATTTTTGACAACGTTTTTGAACATAGGAAACGCTTTTCAGAAAAAAATATATTTTTAGTTAGTTAAAATTGCATTAACATTATATGTATTTAAAATTAGTTAGTACTATATGTATTTGAAAAATAGTTTGTTGGAAACCGGCTTATTTAAGATGTCACTTTTTTCATGTCTTGAATTTAATTTTGCTTTTACTTTGAGTTTGGAAAACCTCTTTATTAATTGCACTTTATGTAACTTATTCAATTTGAATGACATTATAACACACTTAAATAATAAAACAATACTGCTTGTTATTTTCATCTTTTATAAAATGTTATTTTACAAAATATGCAATTTATAACCTTATTGGGTTATACAAATAGCTCATTATTCCAAGGTTGCTTAATATAATTTATTTGTCTGTGTGTAGATCATAACATCCATTTCTGGTAGATAAAAACTATCAACACAAAAATAATGTTGTTGCATCTAAACATCTAATTGAAAAATTTTTATGTATTTTGTTAAGCCAAAATATTAAATAGTGATTTGATTTTAATGCCACTAGTGTCATAAAAATCCAGCTTTTTTTTAAAGATGTCAAAGATTATTCAAGTTGTAGAAAAACCTTCAGCACAATTTACTTGTTATTTACAACCCAAATCAAGTACTTTATCTTGAAATAAAATAAATATGTAAGCAAACAAATTCAAAAAGCTAAATCTAAAGAACCAAATCATCAAATTCTATTTTCATCTTACTCTTCCTGGGCAATCAACCAGGAAGAAGTGAACCATAGTTTGACCATTGATTATAGATGTAATGGATACTCTTGAGGAAAAATCACATGTGAATTTCCTAACCCAACAACTCATTGATAAATTAATTTACTCCTATTAAAAGAAATGTGGCCTGTAAAACACAAAACACAAACTAAAAAATGCCAGTACTTTTTTGGCGAATACTTCCTGTGTGAATGAGTCTCTCGTCACCAATCAGGTTAATTGTATAATTTCTACTCACAGAGGCTGGACCTGATGGCAATGCCTGAGCAGACGAGCCACGCCATGTTCCAGTTGACAGGAGCTCTACGTAACGTAGCCAGTGAGGAGGCAACGTTTCCGCAGTTTGTAGCGACAGGAGCCGTCACAGAGCTGTGTAGAGCCATGGAACTGTTCTCAGCAGATCTCGATCTTATTTGCAACATTTCACGAACCTTAAGGTGAACCATTAGAAATAGTTGTGGAAAAATATGCAAAGTCAGGAGTATTGATCAAGTGAAAAAAACATCAATTTTTGAAAAGGTTAGAAAAACAAACAAACATCTTAAAACCCTTTAATGTGCTCCTAACCAAATACTCGACTCGGCTTCCGCCAATCATGGCCAAATTGTTGCAGAACAACTGATGAACCCAAACTGACTTTTTATGTAATTTCTTGGTTTTGATTTTGTTTCTAAAGCAAAGACCAGTGGAGATTAAAAAACTACCCATCCCTAACCACAATGCATTATTTAGTCTTGTAAAATTTTGTTCAAATTTTATAGTTTGGTTTACATATACATGTAGTATATTATAAATATAGATATGAATTGTCTCTTAAATTCCTTTCTATGATTGCAGCATTCTGTCCACAAGTGATGCCTGTTGTGCCAGCATTGTTGCCCATGATGGCAGTTTCCGTTGCTTTACGAAGGTGTTGGGAAAGTTTCCGGGTCGTCAAGACATTGTTGTCAGGCTTGGCTATGCCCTCGGCAACATCATGGCCAAATGTCACGACGCTAGACTCAGGGTTTGTTACCTTTCTTTAGTGATTTATTTATTTGTGAGCTTCGGCATATTTTGTCTTTTGAAGTGCTTAATTTATTTAATTTGACACATCAGAATTAAAAACATAACCAGAACAGAATATTTACATACATACTTCTATATATTCACCCACAACCATCCCTATAGTCATCTTTGCTAAAAAATATGATGTTACAAGTATGAAGAAAATAAGGAAACACATGCAGTATCTGAATTATGTTGGAAAATGTAGTTGATCAAACATAATAAGGATTTCCCAGGGTCACAGAATGGATAGATTCTACTTAAATAAAGCTTTGTTGGAGCATCTCTTTAAACAGAATCCATTTTGTGAGCTTTCATTTATGATTAACATGGATAGTTCAATCGCTCCTACAGAAGTATGATGCAGAAAAATAAAGGTAGTAGCGTTGCCTTTAAATCCAAAGGTTGCTAGTTTGATCCAAACAGGATAGGTTATAGACCCTCAATTCTATTTGTCCATTAGATTATCATTCAACAATTGATGCTTTTTGACAAATTTGATGTTTGATAGACGATATTGTTATTTGGATTAGGGTTTGTAACATTCTCTCTTCAGCTTTGAAAACCCCAAAGGGTAAAAAATACGGAAAAACAGATGGTGACCAAATTTTTTTTGAGGATTCTAAACACAAAATATTAACCTTATATTTTTTTGACAGCTGTACGAGGAGCCAAACAGTTTGGACACCATCTTGTCTCTGCTGGAGGGTTACCTGGATAAAGACCTGGAGTTGAGTTGTTCAGAAGACAGTAACACAAACTGTTCAACTTCACCACTAGGCTCAGACGGGTCCGTGGAGGATGTAATCATAAAGGTGTGGATCATAGGAATTTAAACCACTGAGGCAACCACATTAGTCTTTTTAAAATTTTGAAATTTTAATATAAAATATAACATTTAATGTTATATAGTAGGGACGGTATAAGGCCAAGGATTAGGGTTTACGGTACAAGCATGATAGTTTCTTGTGCGAGGCTTGGATTTGGTTTCCGAGTGTGGGATTTCATGTGAAAACCTTCTTGGATTAGTCACAAGTGATACTTTTTACCATCACACTGAAAAAGTGTAATGTGCACGTGAGATGGTAATCTTACCGGACTCCGGCTGGCATCACTGGTTCCTTTTTCTAAACGACTTTCTCGTCTATAAAGAGTACAGTAACCAGCTAGTTACTGTGTAGTGCGGTGAAAACACATTTTAGGAATGTAATCGTAATATTCTTATTTGTATATAATTTAGCAGTTGTAGATTTACAGCACTGTGGTTCACAGATGATCCGTATAGTGGCCAACATGTGTCTTCATCCTACGGTGGGAGCCAGTCTTACTTGCTGTCCTACAGAGGATGATGAGTTGTACAGTTTTGAGCATCACTCTGGCAAGGTAAGTGACAGTGGAACACAAAAGTTCTTTCTAAGGTTACAGTTGTATACGGACATATTAGCACTTGCTAATAATCTATGTCTTGACTATGTTTGAAATCATAGCCAGGGTATGACGGTGCGTTCCCACACTCCACACTGCCAGTCTTTACTACTTCCTTCACCACTTTCTTACGTTTAGAACCAATTTTCCTCCCTTATCATAGCATTTTAGGATTGCAGATAAATCACTTTTGGCAATGTGACACGGTGTTGGTCCAGAGCACAGCTAAAGCTGTGTCTTTGTGAGGTTAGGTCTCTTGACAAAAACTTTCAGTATTAGTATTTTGTATTAGTGAGCTTCCACGACTAAAATATTATTATGTTTCCGCCAGGACTGTGGCAGGTTCGTAGACATCCTGTTGACTGTGTTGAGGCGCAAGTCTGCTGCGGAGAGTGAGGAGTTGGTGCTGTCTACTCTCAGCACACTAAACAACCTGTCCTTCTACGCTGATCCTTACGCCACTAGAGACGGACCCTTCGGACAGAGGCAGCTGGAGATAGCACATGGTACACTTGAGACATTTCATTATTAAATTGAAACACAGCTTCTAGAGTGATATGGTTCAAATGGTTGTATATCGTTTTGTAAATGGTATCTATATTTATCTATAAACCCAGACAATCTACAGGGCAATGGACAGCTTGTGAGCTCATGCACCAATGAGAAAAGTGGTCATGGGGTTTAAGACGTGTTTTGTCCACGTACTGTTAGGTAAAAAGTAACTTGGTTACTATACTTTATTTCCAGATATGAGAACAAGAACATGCCAATGGTATACGATAGAAACAAATGAGATTTCATCTGGCATCTAGAACTATGTTGGACAGTTTCAAAACATACATTTAACAACTGCCATTTGGCAGCCTACCCTGAAAGATTTATCAGTCTTCTGGGATGGATGGAAGCACGACAGTATGATGTCTTCCTTTAGAGCTCATTCTTCTTCAAGCTAGTTTACACAAGTTGTGCATACCGACTAATACTTTTCAAGATTAATTTTCAATATATAGACCTACTTGGTTACTTTATTAAAATCACAAAAAACAACAATTTTGGTACATACTTGTCTTATCCAAAAATTGAGTTACAATTTGGTTTGGATCCAATATAAATCTGTCAGAAAAAAAACTTTTATATTTAAGATGTAGAAGATTAAAAGCCTTAAACAATTCATTCTAGGTTGTCCTTAAATCATGAGCTAGAATATTTTTCCAGCTTTGAGTGCCCTGATGTTGACCGGAACAGACGAGTGTTTAGTGGAAGTCACTCGAGTGCTGGGCAATATGACTCGCAGTAAAGAGACAAGGGACTACGTACTGGAAACTGGAGGTATCCGAGTATATGCTGATATATAGTGTGGATAGAGCTTCAATCCATTGGCACTGACTTGCGAGCGTTACTCGTACAGTCGCTGGCTTTAGAGTGTCGCTCGTGTCACTGCTACGCAGCGCCACTAGTTATTTTTATTATTATTTTTTGTTACTTCTTACTTTTATGATGTTGATAAATATCTTGCTTCTTGTTTAACGTATTTGCTTATGTATTTTTGCGAATAACAAACAAGGTTGTGTTGCCATGAAAGCCAGATAACACCCAGAATCAGCTGCGGTAGGGTAAAACTATTTTTTTAATGTTATTGTTTATAAAAGTAATCCACTTGTAATTTGTCTACGAAGAGAATCAACTGAACTTTATAATGGTAGTGTCATTTGGTGTCTGGATTTTAATCTTGGAATTTATAAATCAAGTTTACTTTAAAAAAAAATTTTTTTAATTTGTATTACCTATCTTTATATTTTTTTTATTTTACACTTTGACTATCCAATTACTTCTTTTTTGTAGACAATTCTACTGTGAACAAAATGGCAAAGAACTATTAAGTAAAAGAAAAAAAAAATACTTTTTTCAATATAACATACTAAGCTCAGAGAAGTTCATTAAGCTTATGTTCTGTTTGAAAATATCTTGAAATCTTCTGCTGGTCCATGAAGGTGGAATGTCTGCTTCAGTATCTTAAGTCAACGGTATTTAATTTAGCATATGTACAAGATCTACAATTAACTTTATTTCTGACTTGTTGAAGGTATCTGTCAGCTGGTTCGATGTATGACTCATGACAACCGAGACCTGTTGTGTACGACGGCTGGAGTGTTGGTCAACCTGATGGCAGACTGGGACAAGCGGCTTGCGTTCAAAGAGGATAACGGTATCACTAGGTAGAGAAATCTTCTATAGGTTATCTTTCATGCAATCATCGCAGCTGATTATCATCAAACAGCTGTGGTATCTTGTTTGTGTACATGTTTTTGAATGGTAATCACAAATAACATAGTAATTTTTTAATATTTTATGGGGTAATGGTAAAATGGATGACTTTTCAACCCTTGTCAATAAGTTTGTTTGTCTCTTTGTTGATTCCACTACATACTAACAATGGATGGACCAACAATGGACCATTTAAGATTCAAGAGATGTCTTGGTTCTAACCTTACCTAACCTAAACCCAAAAAATATTTGCTTACAATATAAATGATCAGTCGAACTTGATTAAAGACTTGCACACTCTCATTCATGTTATACTAAATGGAATGATTGAAATCGAATTGGTAGCCTATATTTGGTTTCAGACTGATAGAAGTGCTACAGAGGTATGGGGAGCAAGATTGGAGGCTCGCTAGTCTTGTCTGTCAAGCGTTGTGGAACTTCTGTATAGACTCGACACATTTGTACGCTGCTCTCGGCATACAAGCCACCAACAACTTGCTGGCAGTGCTGATAGACTTGCTGGGTATAGTTTGTAGCACTTTTAGTAACCTGAGAATATTTTCTGTTTGAAATTTGACATACAGTAGAACCTCTTTAATCCGAACCAATTGGGACCAGGGGTAGTTCAGACTATTGAATAGTTCGGATTACAGAACATATTGTTGTTTTTACATAACAATAGCTAAAACATGGCTAAAATTGATCAACATTATTTTGGGAATAGTGAAAAAATGTTTTAAAGTAAAATACAGTGTTTATTTAATAATGTAGTTAACATGGTGAATAAACAGTACTGTAAATTAAATACAGTATACAATAAAGAACTGCTGTACTGTGTATAGAGTACAGCAATGAGGGGTTCGGATTAGTGGACGTTCGGATTACGGGGGTTCGGATTAAAGAGGTTCTACTGTATTATGATCAAAATTTTGAGTATTGGACTAAGATTTTACGGCGTGGTGCAGTCGGTTTATGTTAGTTCTGTTTAGAAGTTTTATCATTCTGAGCCTCTGTGGAACTACAAGCTATCAAGCTACAACAGCTTAAGTTGTACACACCTTTGAGAATATACAGTAGAACCCCTATATCCAATCACCATGGGACCGATTAATTTTCTGCTGAATTTAGCCTACTTATTCATTGTCTTTTTACAAGATAACACAATAACTGTGCTGTACCACACTGGAAATAATCAACCAACTGTACCTTTTTATAGTCAAAGAGGGAAGTGTTATAAGTTGTGTTATATTGTAATAGCTCTTTACGCAATGTGGTTCCTTTTAAACTTTATAAGCAATGACTTGCATTTTATTCTTTGTTTTCCTTTACTAATGGATTTTGGAGCAAAACATGCTAACTCGTTTCTCTCTGATTTTGGACCTCATAAAGAGAACATGTGATCTGTGAATTAAGTATTGTGTGATGTTAATAAACGTTATTATCGGTGATATTTAATAGTTGAACCAGTAGAATCTGTATATTTATTATTAAAGGATTCAACTCTTTCAACTAAATAATTAAATTAATGAACCCAAATTAGATCAGGTTAGGCCTAATAACTAGCTCGGCTGAGAAGTGACACAGTCAAATTGTTGACAAACAGATTAATCATGAGAATATTAAAGTCAAGAAGGCTTGCAATGCAAGCAGTGAGAAAAATATTTCGATATCGGCTTTCTAAAAGTGGCCGTATTAACCGAGGCCCGGTAGAGCTGAGGCCGAATATCAGGAGTTCCACTGTAAGCACATGGTCTTAAGCACGGAGAACTTTCTGCAATAAAATGCCATACAATTGTCTGCTAACCTATGAATATTTTTCTTTTTTCCTGCTGATTTTCTGTAAATTTATTTTACAAATACACCAACTAATGTCTGATATTCTACTTTCTTCCAGACGAGGAGCGTCTGTTTGGCGTGACGGAGGAGGGTGAGGTCGACGACTCCGTGTCCAACAGCCCAGAATACCAACAGTGGGAACAGTTTGCGGCTGTCGCTACCAACCTGCTAGAGAAAATTGAAAAATACCTTGAGTCCCTTCAAGCTTTCAGGGACCATATCTAAATCTCACCTACATGAAGTTGTTATCTTCCCATTGTTCTTTGCCTTTGAACAAATCAGCACTTGTTAAAAGAGCCAACATTTCGAATCAAAATAGCCTTTAATTTAATTAACTGCATTTATAGTAGCTTTAAAATGTTTAACATATCAATTATTAACACTCCTTCAATCACTAGTCATTAGGTCTAAACTGTTACAATCCAATTTCTAAGCTCCAAAATGTGTTATGTAATTCAAATATCCTTTCTAACTAAATTTCGATGTCATAGCACACATAAATGTTTTTAAAAAATGTGGTTTTTCAAGTAAAAGTAGATTGCATAGGAACTTAGCAGAAAGACTACTTTTTGTTACCCAAAACTATTTGTTTAGAATGTTGTTGGATGAATAATTGTTAATACTTATATTTATTCACAATTATTTTAAAGACTGTTAGACTTTGTAATTTGTTATATTTTTTGTATTAATTACACAATAAACAATTTGAGAATGTTTTTTCTGGGTGCTGTACTGTTTGAATTCCTTGACATATAGAATTGTGTAATGATTAAGTTTATTAATTGTTTTAATTATTTACCCAAGCTCATTACTTTATTAGGGAGATATTTAAACATCAGTACATTTTAACAACAATTTATTTACAAAATAAACAAGATATAAAAACTAAAACATGTTCTACATCACTCAACAAGTCAATTGGGAGCTTTTCAAGGCTGTACAAAAACAAGAAGGAACATCTTACACATCTTACATTCTATAAGCAATGTTTTTAGAGTGCATCAATAACGTAGAGGAAATGTCTAAAAATTGTATTAAATGAATGTAAAAATCCAAGATATCCTGGACAAAAATCACATGGATTGTTCGGACAGAATCTTAAGAGACAAAATATTTCTGATATCAAATAGTATTTTCAACGAATCAACTGAGAGAAAATAAATTGGATACTTCGATACCTGGCTTACAGTGGTGAAAATGCAGAGAATAAAAGGAACCTGGAACACACACAATATTACTCCTCGTGAAATTACTGTACATCATATCCTTAAACAATTATTTCATTGTGTTTATTACTATGAGCTATTTTTGCAAACAATTTGTTAACCGTAAACATTTATAAAAATAAAGCTGAACAAATTTGTTACTACGAGGGGCGGTTTATTTAGTAAGGGCTGTTTTTGCGCATGAATCCGTAGTTCGCTTGTACGCCGCAACGAGGTTACTCAACGCTTACTGGTAACCACCAAAAAACCAATTCCTTCCTATATGAACATTTTCATGGCCAATTGTAAACTTTCCAACCTATTTCTGCACTTTGATCGCTATCATTGCATCAGGGTCGCACACATCAGTCATCTGAAGATGAATGTCAGGTGGATGTTTCTAGATTTTCTTTAACACACAGAGAAGCGTACATGTCCGCTACAGAGCTGAGAATGTTGTCATTCTGTTGACAAAGAATGTCAGTAAGTGACAAGAAGCCTTGTTGTGGCGTTCAAGCAAACTACGGATTTATACACAAAAACGGCCCTTATTTTATAAGCTGCCCTTGTACATAATGAGACCATTAATGTCCTAAATAAGTAAAGAAAAACTAAATAGTACAAAAGATTTTACACTAGCAGTAGAAAGATTATAATACTGACTGTAAATTAATCGTCAGAGAGTTAACCTCTTAAGTACATTAGCTTACGAGGAATTGGACAACACTCTAAGAAGTTGGAGGAAAAGTGGTCCTCTTAGAGCATAAATTACAGAAAACAAGTCCGTAAATTTTGATGAAAAGTGCTGATTCTCTTTCTCAACGTCCAACATACAAACTCTGGGTGATGGAAGTTGAAATTGTAAGCAGATAGTTTTGATTCATCTACTTTGGTTGAGTTTGAGAAGGGTACAGTTGAACCACTGACATTTCTACATCTGGCCCATTCCCACATCCCCAGCTGATTTATTAGCTCCTTTAACTCATTATGAGAATAATTTCCGAGTTGGATACATTTCTTTTCCTTTTATAAAATAGTGTCATTTGCAACAGAAGTGCATGCCTAATAAATTGTCTATGATGAAATTCTTAAAACAGAACTGGAAAATATAAAAAACACAAAAACTGTGGATACCCTCCTTTTGTTTTTGCTAAAGCCTTAAAGAGCTTAAATAAAGTCAATAGTCCTGAAGATCCCGGCACCAAGATAAACCTCTGACCACAGTATGTATTCCGTATGTTAATAATATTTCTGAAAAATTGAGGCGTGTGAATGCTAAATAATATAAGAACCGTAAAAAAAAATTAAGATAGCATTCGCAGTTGTGGTACAAAATAAAAACCTGATAACTAGCAACAAAACACAAAAAACATATAGCAATAACATAAAAACATCCTTCACTAAGTTAAACTGATCCGACAGTCGTGGCTAGGCGTTCGACCTGTTTGCGGGATAGAAATAGTTTTTCCAACCCTGAGGAAGCAAAACTAAACAGGACAATTAGGATTAAAAGTAAATGATGGGGACCCACTGCAGGTAGATGACCATACATTTGAAAAAGTAGAACATTTTAAGTACTTAGGGGTTATCTTATCCAGGGAAAACAAAGAAGAAATAGAAATTCAAAATAGACTAAATCTGGCAAACAGATGTTTCTACGCTTGCAACAGACTGATGTCCTCTAAGTTACTGTCTAAAAACACCAAAGTTAGAATTTATAAGACAATAATCAGCCCAGTATTATTATACGGAGCTGAAACATGGAAACCAAATAAAAAAGAAGAAAAGAAGTTAATCACATTCGAAAATAAGATTTTAAGAAAAATTTATGGACCAATTTATGAAGGTGGTGAATGGAGGAAGAGACACAACAGAGAACTGAGAGAACTCTACAGAGATCCAGATGTGGTGTGTGAATTTAAGTGTAGAAGAGTTAGATGGGCTGGACATGTTTTACGAAGAGAGGAGCAAAATAAGTTAAAATTAGTTTTACTAAGAAATCCCGAAGGAAGGCGACCGAGAGGAAGGCCAAAACAAAAATGGTGGAGCCAAGTAAAGAAAGACATGGAGCAACTAGGAGCAACTGAGGAGGATGCAGAGGATAGAGCAAGATGGAGAGGCTTTGTTGGTGCGGCCAAATATCTTCTTAGATATGCATGGCCCTGGGAGTAAGAGTAAGTAAGAGGAAGCAAAACTAAAAAGTGAGTGAAGCCCACAATCTTCATTAATAATAAATTGCCCCTATAAATTTAATCAAGTAAGACGGACATGAAATACATTTTTTTTAATGTTAAGTCTTAAAATATTATTTTGTATTATCTTTAAGGCCAAGTAAAATCATTAGGTATTCACACAAATTGATGAAGAGTATTACTTGTGTGAAAATCAAAGTTCCTTGTTGATCTAGACTTCCATAACTTCTGAATGTATCACTATGATCCTACCTAAAATGAAAGACAGCAGCAGCCTGAAACATGGCAGCTACTGAATTAACTCTAGAGAGGGCTGAGCCAAAAACTGTGGAAATCTCAGTAACCCTTCTCCTTCTCAATCTTAACCAACGTAGATTAATTAATAACTATCTGCAACAGATTTTAACTTTCATTGCCACATATAAATGTTCAACATTTAAAGAACAAGAATTGGCATGTATTCTCAAAATTCTGCGGTCTTGTTTTCTGCAAATGTGTAATACAGATAGGCCTATAAACGGAACACTTGTCCCAAGTGCTAACAACAGATCAACAAAGAACTCTTATGTGAGATATTTTGTCAATCAAAAGTTTTTGTGAATGCTTAGTTTTTTTATAATCATGATAATGTCTGCAATAAATAATCCCAACTTGAACTCACTATCACAAAAATTGAACTTGAAATAAATCTAGGTTATGAATTATGTTATCAAGAATTTTTATTATTTTTACAGCAATCGTTAATTTTTAAACAACAAATAACTCAATACAAAAAATTATCAAAGTGATTAGTTTCAGAGGAATACAAAATTGTACATAACCTTTATCGTTAATGATGCACTCTTAAAAATACTAGACCTACCTAAGGTTACGTACCGGAAACAACAAGCAGGTAGCAATCTTACGACCTTCTAGCTCGTGTCTCTGGGAGAGTCTACTCGTACCATGAAAATCAACAAAATATCGTGATAACCACTGTCAATAAAAGTTGAGATGGATCAAGAACCAGTATCAGTTTGTGTCAAAGTTTGTTTTTCAATTGGAATTTGTTTAAGTAGTTTAATACTCAAATAGAGGTTTAGAAATGATTAGTAAACATAATGGTTTGACATAAATCAATAAAATCAAAGCACAAGCAAACATGTTCTATACATTTTATAAATCAAAACTGTTTTCAAACAATAAAGAATATAATACTTTATGTTTCTGGTTATTGACCCATATTTTTAAAGTTACAAATCATAAGAAACATGCGTTTAAAACAATGAACCTCTAGAATCTAATAGGCTAACAAGAAAACAAAGCCCTAGCTAATAATAAAACTTGAGTTTTAAAAATTAGTAGCCCTGCTCCTAATACTAATGCTGTTAAAACAATGTTGTTAAATTCAAAACACTTAAATACTGTAGCCTACATGTTTTACGCAAAGTCCAAAACATACAAGACGGACACTATTTACACAAGCATATATTTTTCTGTTTTATGGTATCATTTATTTTAACATTAGGCCTAGTTATTTAATGATTTTCTTTTAGATAAATATACAATATTAAATGCCTCTCTTCATTAGTTTGAATATGGTCACAATTCACACCAAAACTGATTTAAGATATTCCGTTCTAATTCCAAAAAAATGCATTAATTCATAGTTGGATGAACACAGAAAGTTATTCGTTTTTTAGTTAGGCCTACCCTATTAATCCGTTTACAAGAAATCTGTTAAAATGAAAAAAAAACCTAACTAACAAAATTTCTAAATCGGATTATCGATAGTTTGTCTACTCAGGTGTATCCAACTTTACTACATCCCTGACGGGTAAGATAAGAACAGAATGTTTAATACAGGTAGTCCTGGCTATATACATAAAGTTCCTGTTTGCATGGTTCAAGATTTAATTAACTTTATTCTAGTAAGTTCAGTTTTGTATTTAGTAAAAAAATACAATAACATTGCTATTAACTGTTAAGATTATAAAAATAAAATAGGTAAAAAAGTTTATTTTTTTAGACGTAAAATCAATTTTTTACTGGAGGCAATGGTCTATAAATAATAGTCATTGCTTTACAAGTTTTGCTTTCAGCGTTTGCCAGAACACATCTACCACAAGGACTAACTTTTAAAGTATTTTACACTACGGTACACATATTTTAAACACGTTAACCGGTATCAATTAAATAGATCATATGACAATCAGTTATTTCAACTATTGTTTACTTTGGAACAAGTTTTTTCCTTTGAATAATCTGCATTCATGAAAAACTAATCTTAGTCTATATATATCTGAAATATCAAGAAAATACACACCAGATTTGTAATTCGGCAATGATGACTTAAGTTGACGACTTCCACTGCTGAAAAGTAAACAAAATTGTTCAGTTCCAAAATCCAACTTTGACATGTAACTATGCCTTAGAAGTCAAAAAGTCAGCAACCTAAATCCATTTACGGGGTTTTAAGAACCAGCTAACAGCTTAAAGACAAGTTTAAAGCTTAATCATTTGACAGTGTGACTATGACCATAGACAAAAAGAATTAAATATAGACCGTCAGCTGTGCTGCGGTTACCATAGGTTCTGGCGCACACCGCTTGGAGCACCACGGTAGTTACGGCGTACGCGCTACGTAAACTACAGCGGTGTGCGCCGGAATCTATGGTAACCATGGCAACCGCAGCACGGCTGACGGTCTATATTTCATTCTTTTTGTCTATGCTATGACTAACTGTAGAAACATTGTACACCGTAACCAAAAAGTCACATAACGTTTTTAACATAGAGAAAGCCTATCTACAAGTAAAACTATTTAAAAAATCCAGAAAATTATTTAGAGCACAAAGTTTTTTTTTTATGGTTTGTATAAAATTAGCAATATTTTAAAATTATGTTTACATGAGGGAAACTTTCTTTAAACAAATTCAGGTATGTATGTTCGGTTCTGTACAAATCAGGAGTGTAACATAGGCCTACTAAATATAATCATCTAGGCCAGGGGTCACCAACCTACCCGCAAGTGATATTTTGACCTTCAGCAGCATAGGATATTGAAAAGTTCATTCTTATAAGAAAACACCAATGATCTTCTCCTGCGATTGCAGATAAATCTGATTTATGGAAATCGTGGCAACACTTTTGAGCATATCTTTCGGTTTTAGAGAAACAGTGATTGTCTCCCAAGCTCTAGGCAACACTAAGACAATATCTTGCGGTCTTAGCGATACCAAGATCATCTCCAGCGATCGTTGCAATACTCGTGAGCATATATTAGGGTCTCGGTAATACCACGATCGTCCCCTGCGAACTTTATCACCGGTGACCACAATTTCCTCACATGGTTAAAAGTAAACCAATGGAAAGAATTAATGACTGGAGGGTCGGCCATATGATATTGATGGAACTCTCTGCCCATGCCGGATTCAAGTGCAATTCACAATTCACGTAGCCTACAATTCCTGGTCTCCAGGTTGACTGGCTACCGTGTTCAAATATTTATCTAGTTATTGGCCTAACTTAGACGCTTGCCAATTTTTCAATCTAGGCGAAAAAATTAGCAGTAAACATTGTCACAGCCGAGTCATTTTGATACAGATCTGCCCGGTTAGATTGACATTTGAAACCAACCCTAATTTTCAGAATTCCAAATTGCAAGCCCTAAATGAGGGGGGGGGGGGAGAGAGCCAAACTTTCTGCACTAAAATATGACTTCTCTCCAAAAATTAAAAGTGGCCAACTTAAGTTAAGGAAAAAAGGTTGGAGACCCCTGATCTAGGTAAGAAGGTTAAAATCTTACATAAATCTAACTTAACACTAACAAATTGATGAATAAGTTTAATTCGTACCTGGTTATATTCTGGAACAAACCTTAATAAACAAAAATTATGAATTATTGCTTTAGTTAAATTTATGCCGCACCTTGTAGGATGGCAGAAAGTGTGCAACGCCAATCGCCACAGAACTGCAGCAGCAAAAGCTGAAAAACAAATATGTGTAGAGAAACATTTTTTAATAACGATTAAGTCGATTAGCACAGTAATTTACAACAAGTCTAGAGATCAATCATTAAGATGGACAATGGTTATTACTTAACAAAGCACAGGCTACTAAATTAAATACCTATTACCACCGGTAATATATACATGTATCTTGTCAGTGTCTAAGTCAAATAAGTGAAAAATTCTCTCTGGAACATTGATACAAATTACTTAGGCTTTAGGCCTGCTCTAATAAGCAAGTTAAATGTTTTTCAAACATCGCAACTGATACAAAATGGATTTTAATAGATTAGCCTACGAGTTATAATATATATAGGTAAGTTATTAACTTATTCAGAAAGAATAAATGAACTACAATTTCCAAGTAGGTAGCCTAGGTAGCCTACTGGAGTACGGTAATATTTTAGTAAAATTCACTGAAATTCTAGGCTGTCTCGAGTGCATACAGTATTCATTAGGCCTAGTCTTTAACAGAACTGGTCACAATTCACAGCGAAGCCATTTGGTTGCAGGAATCACAAAATTCAAGAGATACTTTTTTGTTTGCAATATGAAAGCAGATACCAGCATCACTAAGTACGCCTAAGTTATCTTTATTTTCACTGGAGGTGAACCCTTTAGAAGGTGTTTCACATCGAAGAGGACTAATACTACCTCCATATCCAGTAGATTCTGGAGACTCTGGAAAATCAAACTGGCTTGGGTTAAACCAACTGTCTACATCGGGTAAAATAGGATGATTTGAAATCTCAAAATCAAGTTGAGCTTCTTCACTTTTATCAAGAAACCCCCAAGGAGAACGTAAAGAACCAAAGCTCAGTGCATCATTACCTTCCTCCTCTGTAGGTTGTGGTGTTTCCAATCCTGAATGAGTATTTGTACTGGGTTTCTCAGCTTGAGTATGATCCTCAGGAACAGGGGAGTTTCTATGTTGGGTGCTCGGCCTAAGGAGAGACGACGTTACTTCCAAACCAGTGTGCTGGCGCACACAACGCAGCACTGATGCAATTTCACTTTCATTTTTAATAACGCTCTCCAAATACAATGTTCTTCTCTTCAATGACTCCACTTCTTTAATCTTAGTGCCTAACATACTTTTCAATGATTGTTTCTCTGATTCCAGTTTGGCATTTCTGTTCTCTAGATTCTCAATGTATTGTTTCTTTTTTAATCTATTTAGTCGAGCATTCATGGCATTTTTGGACGTGCATTTAGATCTTCTTTTTCCATTTTCCTGACAACTTTTCTCCCACTGGGACATTTTCAAACTTAAATTTGATTTTGGCCTGCCTCTGGGCCTGGAGTTCATAGGCCTATTAGTTTTATCAAACACCCTGACAAGGTCTACATTAGACGTATCAACCAATGATGTCACCGACCTTGAATAAGAATGTTCTTCAAAATCAGAATCGCTTCCACTTCCTTCGCTTTCTGATAGAAGAATATTAGAATTGGAATATGAATCTGTACTGGATTCATTTTCTAATATTTCAGATGTCAACCGTCTCCGTTTTCCCTGAGATGATATCATCTCACTAGACAAATGGGTAGGCCTAGTTATCTTAGAGCTATGGCCTTCAAAAGATTGAGAAATTTTCCTCTTAGGGGCATCGAAATTGGCCATATTGATACAATAGGCCTAGACTTTTTCAAGTAAAACTTAGAGAAATTCCCCGAAACTTGTTAGTTAGGGAAATATTTAAGCTCTGGGATACTGTCACTGTCTATAAGTCTTACTGTTTTCGAAGTATGTATGAAAACATTCGATTTTAATAGCAAATTTTTAGCAAGCAGCCCAATCCCTAGCCCTTGTGAAACGTTCGAAAAACGAATCTTGTTTTTGGACTCTATTTGACAGTTATGTCCCTATTATACAGGACCACCAATAACAGGAGGAACACCAATAACTACCCTACTACTTATAAACTAATTAAATGTCACTAAATACGCGATAACTCGACTATTGCAGATTTAGTTAACACGCACTGACTGGAACCACCGACAGACGGACGAAGAACAACAAAGAAAGAAGGAGATGACGCAACCCAAAGCTCACCGACCCGACACCTTTTGACCTTGAGAAAAAACGATGTAAAACGTTGAGTGTACGTTCCATACGTTCTTGTAAAAATTGGTTTCAAACAGGTTTGTTAGACCTAAACCGAGGCAGTAACGGGCGCCAAATTTTTTTCGTTACGATCGGAAATTGTCGGTGAAAATACATTACCCCAGATATATAATCAATGGTGTAAGCTACAAAAAAATTGCAACAGTTTTAGCATAGATAAAACATGGTTTTAGTTTAGGCTTTAAAACAACAACTAGACATTCCATCCCCATGTTAAAGTTGTAGCCAGGTTTTTAATCAAATTTGTCTTAGTTGATGTGAGCCACCTACAGACTGCGCTGATCTAAATTACTGATTCCTGACGATTACACGATGGTTTGTACCATGTTAAACTGATGGGATGACTTATTATGAGCTATAGCAACTGTTGTGACCCCAGCAACTATGTCAGTAACAAAAAATAAGGTACAAAATAGAGTTTTAGACACTAGCGCAATCTGTGACTGGCTCACACAACTACGTCCTTTTTTAGTAAAAAATTGGTCACAGCTGATCCGTATAGATGGGACGTCTAGGCCTACATGCTATTTTTAATCAGAGAACAGACTAGACGCACGTGGGTAGCTATGCTAAAGCTATTCTATTAATTAACAGCTGTGTCTAAGGAATATGTCAACCTTAGTCACTAACAAGACTACAAGACCGCGCCACTCAGTCATCATACACACTCATCTCCATTCATACTTGGCTTAAAATACCTACTTTGTATGGTTGCCATTTCATCGAAAAGTATTATAAAGTATTAAAAAAAGTACCCATAGGTGGCCGTGATATACGTGTGGTGGTATACCACACGTGAACCACCGTGAACATAATCACATATCAAGCTAGTACTATAAGAAACCCCAAGGATATTACTGTATTATAAAATTGACAATAGTTATACCTTGTTAATGAATTTATGTACACAAATAGGGGCCATCCACATATAACACTAAAACTGTCCTAAGGGAGTATGCTTTATCGTCATGTTTAACAACCTCTAGGTATAGCCATAGCAAGGCCACACTAAAACATACGTATCATGGTGGAAGGAACACCATTTCACCATTTTTTAGAAAAAATAATAAAAACTATAAAAATCAAATCGAAACAAACATATATGTCAATACAATAAGATGATCTTTGTTTGCAATTTGGATGACGTCAGCATATGACGGGAATAGCACACCTATGTATTTTCCTCCCTTCCACCATGCATACGTATAGCATCAAGTAGTAATGTGTTGTGATCCTGGGCTAGTCCCTATAGCGTCCTAGGACAAAACCCCCTCACCTTATATGGTGGTGATAAGAAAGATACTCAGCCAACCGGATTACCGGATACAAGTACCTTGGGGTGATCATTGATCAAAGGATGACATGGTCTCCTCATATTATCTATGTAAAGCAAAGATTGAGGAAACTGGTCTACGCCTTTTATCAACTAAGCCGTGTGTTAACGGTTAATCACTGCAGATACGTTTACTATGCATACGTGCAGTCTGTGCTGCAGTATGGCATACTGGCGTGGGGCGGTGTATCTGCTGCCACATTGGCTCCTCTTCACGTAACCCAGAAAACCTTAATCAAAATTATTCTTAAAAGGCCAAAACATTATTCAACAAGTTTACTTTTTTCCGAATTCCCAGTTTTAAATATTAGACAATTGTTTATCAAAACACTATTACTTTTCATTAAGAACAACAAGGAAATTATTTTTTCTAACTTACAACACAGTTATCACACTAGGCACAGGCATAACTTTGGATACCGCACTCCACAACTAGCATATAGTTCCTTGAAAAATAACGTGTTTTACATAGCTCACATCCTTTATCGCAACTTGCCGCCCAACATAACTGATGCTGAATCAGGCAGTGTCGCTGTGTATAAAAGCAAGGTCTGTGAGTGGCTGATGACTGTGGGAAGAGAGGCTGCAGAGGCTTTAATTCGCTCGCCTTACATTTAAATTAATCTCTGACATCAAACGCCGCCATAATAGCTATCAAAATAAATTTTTCTTCATAGATTAATATTTTTATTGTTGCTTAAGGCTGTTTATTGTTAATTAATTCTAGTATACAATATATTTATATAGCATATATATACATTTATTAAAAGCTCCTGATACGTATTAAGTACAGATGTACAAATTATTTATAAACAGTGTGCACATTTTTTTGACCTATGGACAATAACCAAAACTTATTTCCTGCTGGTAAGAGCTCTTCCCTCGAGCACGGACTTGCAGTCCATTCGGGGGAATACTATTCTTACCCTGATAATGCCCCATGTAGCACAGATGGTTGGGCCAACGTTGGCCAACTGTGGGACAGTTGGTCGATGGTTGGTTGGAGCTTCCACAACCAACCAACCGTTGTCCAACTGTATATCTCGTAGTTGGGCCAACCAATATTTACAACTGTGGACCAACATTGGTTCATTGTTAATGAAATACATTAATATGCATTGCTGGGTATCATACATCAAGCCAACCGTTGTCCAACCGTTTTTCACTCCGTTGGACCAACAAAAGATACTTTTGTTGGACCAACGATGGTCCATAGTTGAGTTTACACTACTTTCATTCTCTGGGTCTAGCTTTCACAACATAATTATAATAAAATATCTGGTTTTACAATACCTTTATTAGTTCCAAAAGTTTTTGGAACTGATAAAGGTATTGTAAAACCAGATATTTTATATATTACAGTTCCGGGGCTACAACAATGAATTTTAATAATTATAATAATGCAAATATTTTAAAAATTAATATTCTTTAACTTATTTGCAACAATTTAAGGGGAAAGAGTAATTAATCATATAACAGTCAATTATAATAGCATTAATAATCTAACGGTAATTAATTAATCTATATTCAAATACCAGTATCCTCTCTAACTCCAAAAAAAAAAAAAAAAAAAAAACTACTTATGATGCCTTAACAGATTAACAGAATCATATTATACTGTGTAGTATCAAAAGTGTTTGAAGTATTGCGACCATTGCAACTGTCGGCTACTCTTTCACCACTTGAAAACTCTCTATATCAACAATCACAGATAGCTCAGTGGTAAGGTAAGAGGCTGATAAGTCGAAGGACCCGGGTTCGAGACCCGTCTGGGCCAAAAAATTTTGTTCTAGCTTTTTTTCAAAATTTGTTTTTATGAACTATTTAATCAATTTACTCAACTAATAATTATGCTTTTCGTACTAAATCTTTATTATTTTGTGTGAAATAAAACGGTTGGTTGGATATCAGTTGTGTTATGGTTAGTTGGTCATCAGTATTTTTGGATGGTTGGGCCATTGTTGGACAATGGTTGGCTGGAAAACAGTTTAAAGAGGTGACATTTCTACCGTTGGCCAACTGTGTGGCTCCACAATTTACCAACGTTGGCCCAACCATCTGTGCTACATGGGGTATTCCTGTATTTATATATGTGAATAAAGTGATTTTTGATTTGAACCTGCCACCATATTAGAGGTAGCAGGTTGACGTGCACGCTGCCGTCAAGGTCCTGCAAGTGAAGTGGTGGTGGCAGATTATCACCAACCACAGTAGATATAATATACGGGTTTAAAGTCACTTGGGGCACGTTTTCCCATAAGAAATAACATGGGATCATTTTTTGGCCACTAAAACCAAAAATCCTGATCTTTGCCTAAATATCCCTATATAATTGTCAAACCTTATTTCTTACTTATTCCCCATAAATATATTCGATATTAAGCTAAAAAAGCTATTTCTTATATTTATTGACCCTTACAAGTGTAAATGTAGAGTAGAGGCAATATGATGGTTTAACATCACTTTAGGCACGTTTTCCCCATAAGAATAACATGGTGAGCTTTTTTGACCACTTTTTTAAAAATCCAGCTCTCGGCCTATACAAGCCTATATAAATGTTCAATACCATTGTACAACACTATTACTATTTCAAATCCATATCCATTCACATGTATATTCTCAAAATCATCAACTTGACAGTGCGAGGTTTGTACGCGAACTCGGGCGCGCTCCCGGCTCATGGCGCGCTCCCTTGGACATCCTTAGTGGAAATCCATGAATTCTGGCTACTTGGGAACCCAAGCCATTTGACATATAATAAATCACCATTTCTCCTAATAACCTTTTCTATCAAATACATGTCTTTATATTTGGTCTTTAACAATTCCTCTGTATAGAAGCCTCCCCTGATTATATTACCATTTTCATCTTTCAAGATATAAGTCACAGGCTTTGTATTCTTAACTTCTGCTATTGTAAATAGCTCACCTGTCCAATTCGGGGTATATCCTTTACTAAAAACATGTTTATACTTGGAAATTCTCACACTATCACCTACCTTATATCTTGGCTTTTTAACTTGCACTACTTTAGAAGTCAACCTCTCATGCACATATTTACTATTCTTAATACTCACTTGGTTAGGCTTCATTCCTATAGATCTATGCACCTTATTATTATATTTTCGAATTAACTTTGGAAGTAAATCCAACCATTTATAACTTCCCTGAGCACTAAATTCCCTATATAACCAATTCTTTAAAGTTCTCTGAAACCTCTCCACAATTGCAGCCTTAGTTGTAGAAAATGTGTGATAGTGATTAATATTTAATTGTTTCATTAGTTTGCTAAAATATTGATTAAAAAATTCTTTTCCATTGTCAGATTGAATGTTTTTAACCCCCTTTGGTAGAATGGTTTTAATGGCTTCTGTAACCACCAAACCCGTCTTATTCTTTAGCGGAGCAGCATAAGCTTTTTTAGAAAATATATCTATTAAAGTTAAAATATATTTATTGCCAGAATTTTCTCTAGCATAGTTTTGCATATCAATTAAATCTATTTGTACAGTTTCGTTTATACCTATTACTTTAAAAGACCTTCTA